CTCTATTTTACCGGTCACCACAAGGCGTTCCAAATTGCTGGTATCCCTACGTGTAACATGACCAAAATACCGCAATATTCTTTGTAGGCAGATTGTGGATAGACGTTGAATCTTTTCTATTTTTAACTGCCTGAGAATAGATATGTTNCTCAGTTCCTCCGCTATTTGGTCCGACCATCGTTTGGGACCTCTACCCCTAGGTCTTTTTCCCTCTATTTTACCGGTCACCACAAGGCGTTCCAAATTGCTGGTATCCCTACGTGTAACATGACCAAAATACCGCAATATTCTTTGTAGGCAGATTGTGGATAGACGTTGAATCTTTTCTATTTTTAACTGCCTGAGAATAGATATGTTGGTGCGGCGGGCCGTCCATGGTATTCGTAGCATACGTCGCCAGCACCACATCTCAAAAGCGTCGATTCTCTGCCTATCTGCAACTACAGTAACAATATTTTTTTTTATTTTTTTGTGGTATGATATACAGCGTTAATATGGATCTTAAATATTGTAAATGGACTCGTTATAGGGTCCCATTTAACCTCCTTTCGGCTTCACGGGTAGTTTTGTAATACCCTGTATATTTGTCTATATGTATATAAAAAAGCGTGTTAAAAATGGGCCGTCATAAGACCGAGAACGGTTTTCAACATGCGGACGTACTTCAGAATCTTATATAATTTATGTATTCGTATTCATCTCTTGCTCAACATTGAAGTGGTCACATACCTAAGGCACTTGAAGCTGTGCTTGAGGTAACTTAACAAAGATCGGAGAAGAAACATTGGGGGTTCCGTAGCGCCGAACAGAAGAAAAACAAAAATGAAAAATGAATCTTTTCAATTCTCAAAGCACACCTTGCTTTTGTAGGACGTCTTGTAAGTCCGCATGGGTAGGTACCATCGCCCTGCCTAGTTCTGCCGTGAAGCAGTAATGCGTTTCGGTTTGAAGAATGGGGCAGGCGTTGTACTGTTAAAAGTGAGATCTTAGAACTTATGTCTCATGTTGTAAATGTCTATGGGCTCCGGTAATCATTTAACACCAGATAGGCTGTGAGCTCTATGGCCTATCTTCCTCTGATCCCACTAGGTGGGGTCGGCACAGTGAATTTTTCTGTTCCATTATCTTCTATCACCCGTCATCTCAGCACTCACTCCTCTCTCTCTCATATCGTCANTACTGTTAAAAGTGAGATCTTAGAACTTATGTCTCATGTTGTAAATGTCTATGGGCTCCGGTAATCATTTAACACCAGATAGGCTGTGAGCTCTATGGCCTATCTTCCTCTGATCCCACTAGGTGGGGTCGGCACAGTGAATTTTTCTGTTCCATTATCTTCTATCACCCGTCATCTCAGCACTCACTCCTCTCTCTCTCATATCGTCATTCACACACTCCATCCATGTCTTCTTCGGTCGACCTCTTCCCCATCTACCTTGTACTACCATTTCCGTACATCTCCTAGTCACATGCATCTCCTCTCTACGCATCACATGTTCATACCACGCTAACCGTCCGCCCTAAAATTAAATTTCCTTGTTGACCTATTTATGTATTAAATAAAAGAATAAACGTCATTTTGACAGACTTCAAAGTTCACAGACACTTCACGAACAGTGTGCTTAATGCGAGTTTTTTAACGCTCTCGGTAGCGTAAGAGTTAGCTCATATTTGTATGGAATGGGATCGTTTGCCTATGTGCGAATGGTAAACCGTCGACGTCGCCCAAAGCACGTCATTACGGATCCTCCTGATCCATTAACGGTGCTTTTAGGCACCACAAGCACCGGTCACCGTCCTCGTCCAACCCGTCGCCTGCGACGAAGGGCTCGACGAGCGAACTAACCCATAGACACAACCCACTGAGTTTCTCGCCGGATCTTCTCAGTGGGTCGCATTTCCGATCCGGTGGTAGATTCTGCGAAGCACTGCTCTTGCTAGGGTCAGTGTTAGCAACTCTCCGGTTGAGCCCCGCGAGCTCACCTACAAAAGTTAGGGTTACGCTGACATAGCCTCTCAAGGCTCTTAGCTTAGGAAGGAAAAAAAAAATGCCTACGTTTGCCGCTAGGGGCGCTATTCCAACTGCATGTAACAAAGTTGGGTTAACTTTTACGCTATCGAGAACGTTAAAAAACTCGCACTAATCACACTGATGACGTTACTAGATTATTACATAAATTATAATTGCTTACATATCGATTAAAAATATATGGCAAGCGTACAACTTGGTGCACGTGAATGAAGTGAAACTTCTTTTGCGGTGTGAAGTATTGTGGTTTTCTTAATTTTTCATTCTTAAATCAAATTTCTCTTGTAATAGGGAATGCTGTGTATAAGAGAAACGACCTAGCTCGCTTTGTCCTCTCCCTCTCTCCAGGGTCGAGTGGTTCGCGAGACGCTCTGTCTATTTTCTCACTCTCGCTCTTCATAAATTGTATCTTTTCTCTCTAGCAATACTTTTAGTATTGACGATTAAATTTTAAGCACCTTTCCAGTCACCATCCTCGTCAAACCCGCAAGGACTCGACGAGTGAATTAACCCTCACACACAGCCCACTGAGTTTCTCGCCTGATCTTCTCAGTGGGTCGCGTTTCCGTTCCGGTGGTAGATTCTGCGAAGCACTGCTCTTTCTAGGGCCAGCGTTAGCAACACTCCCGGTTTGAGCCCCGTGAGCTCACCTACACGTCAAGGAGAAGCTGAAATAGCCTCTCCAGGCTATCAGCATGGATACGAAAAAAAAAAGGCATCTTGTTGGCGTCAATTTCCGATGAAAGCGCGCCACGAAAGAAATCTGACAAATACCCGAGAACCACGCTATGTAATAATAATTTGAAAACAAATCATGGACGACTCGACGCGGTCTAGAAAAACATACGAAAAGTTTTCTCTATGTAATGCTCATTAAAGTTCATTTTAGGTTACACGATCAAATCACTAAACGACAATTTGAAAAAACATACTTCTGTGCGAGGTCCTAATGAAAGTTTATTTCAAATTATGCGATATCAAATATTTCTGGTTTTTTTTTCTTTCAAATAATCAAAATCGGTTTTCAAGTAATCTCTCTATTCATAATTTATATTTAAACAAGCCATCCTAACATCCCTAATGTTTGTCTCAATTGTTAGAATCAATTAGCATTTATTACATACACCATTAGTACCATTATCCGACCTTGTTGCTTGAGTGGATGTTAAACACTTATAGGTCTCAAATATATTAAGTGTATAATCTATGCTTATAGGCAATATGCCATTCTCCTAACCTAATTTTTAACGGAAGTAGCGGTTCTAAGCGGTTATATGACTTCCTTACTTCTTTAGGCGCATGAGAGTAAAATTTTTACAGATGTAACGTCACGCAGGTATGCAACGGAAGTGTCGAAAAATTTTAATACAGCGCCATCTATGAGATTTTTTAATACTAACTTGCGTATGAAACCTCTTGTAGTGAATTTCAATTCAGGATAATACGTGACGTTAAAATATCGATTCACAGAGGGCGCTACCTCATACTATAAAAGATGATTTACAATTATTTACTAATGACAAAATTTTACATATACTTAGATATTTAGGATAATTGTATTTTAATTTTTGAAGGTTTCACTTCTAACACGTGTGAATTGCACACATGTTTCTTTTTTTTTTTTATATATGGAGCAAAAGCAAATCGATGCCTCCAATGAACACTACGCTAACTCCAAATTCGTAGATTTACAGGAGGAGCGTTTAAATGAAAAAAGGTGATAAAATCTTTTTTATTGCAGCTATATTAATGGTTCTTTTGTGTAACTAGCTGATTTACTCTTGCTTCGAACCCCATCAATAATGATTAATTGTAATACTTTTAACATGGTGAACCGATTTGCGTATTTAGCGAAGATTTAAAGAAATTACGTCAAGCGGCTTTGTTTCATTGTCTCACTTTTGTACAGGAATTACACCGAGCGCGGCATCGCCATCTTTCGAATATATTAAGCTTCGATCAACAATAGTAACTAGATTTCGGGTCGGTGCATAAAATCCGTCTCGTCAAATAACAGCACACTTGAATTGTGAGCTCTTATTTTGTTTAGTTCACTTCAAACACAGCCAATGTCAACCCGTCTCACAAAACTGCAGTGTGTATTCAAAAGTTGCAAAAATAAGGCCCGAAAAAGCAATTTAACGGCCGGAATATCTTACATTCGGTAAGTACATGAAGTATAAACTATATTGTAAGCTTTAAACTTATAAATAATATTAAATTTTGAACAAAATTACCGATTTTTAACCACCGCTACAAATGTTGGCCAAGGCTCGCCAACACATGGACAAACTTTTGCATAACAGAAAAGTAAATGCATGGAGTAGATTTGTGTTGTAATAATTTTTTAAAATTTGTTAGCAGCACTTCAAAATTAGTTGGTTAAAATTGGTTTATGCTTTGTGTCTGTTTGTTGGACTCTCATTAGATACTTAGCTTTCCATTTTTTATTTTAGCTTTCCTAGCAATCACGTGTGCAGAATGGATCTCGATTGTCGCCATAGAAACAAGAGATGACTTTTATAAGCCAGCTAAGATCTCCGCTTATTGACACTGGACATCTTTGCCTTCCGTGCTCACGGCTACTGAAACGTGGCCGAAACATTGTAATAAAAATACCACGCTTGAAACCGTTTAAACGTTGNGAACATTCGTTGGACTGCGCTTGCCTGGTGCACTTACTATATTCTTGTTACGTTGTGTGATTCAGTGACTGTTGTACGTACTGGTTAAAGTTGGACAAGTGTTAAAGTGAATTGTTAAGATAACATATTGTTGATTAAATCAGGAATCAAAAAGTGAAATCGTTTTACTTGGTGTTCAACAAGATAATATCTACCCTCAAGCTTACATACACATACTGAGTCTCTCGCCGGTGTGCTTAGTGCGAGTTTTTTAACATTCTCGTAAAAGTTAGCGATAGGGCGGTATCGCCATCTTGTTTAAATGGCGCCTTTTTTTTTCTTCGCAGTTCATGGCAGCGGCGTCCTTGGGTCAATGTCAACGGCACAGCCAGATAATTCGAGATGACATTGACGGTCCGAACCCGGATGGCTCTTACAAATGGGCAATCGAAACAGGTATATCAAATGAAATGAAATCAAAATTTTTTTATTCAACATAAATGAAAGTACCTACATACTTGTTGAACGTCAAAAAAAACTACGGCCAATTCACAAAAACTAGCCTCCGTCATGAGAAGAACTGACAAGAAACTCAGCGGGCATGTATTTTTTTTTATATTATAGGTTTTTTTCAATTTTAGTTTTTTTTTTAAATATTCATTTTTACAAGGAGTCTTATAACGTAACAATTATGGCAATATTGAAATGCCCGGAGCGAGCAACTCATTCCCACTTTGTGCAATCTAATCATTGACTTTATAGTAAGTTTTATTGCACAGATGTTCTTTAATAGTTTTCTTAAACCTATGTATATGTAGGTTCTGAACATCTTGTGGGATTTTATTGTACAGGCGCACAGACAAACACCCGTATGAATTTCGTATCTTATATAACCATCGGCACATGAAGCTTGTGTTTGAATCCCGGGAGACTGAATACGAACATCGCAACCATAATATAATTCACTATTCGTAAAACAACATTAATTTGCCAAAACGAGCATAAATACTTTTTTATCGCTTAAATGGGTGTTCGTTCGTCCTGCCCGCCTGGTGTTCAGTGGTTACCGGAGCCAACGTGAACGCATACAACCCATACAAGCTTACGCTATTACGGTAGGCAGCAGCTCGGCTCGGTCCCTTCCGTTGCTGAAGTCCATAAGTGAAGGTAACCACTCACCATCATGGTTCGTCTACCTACAAGGGCAATAAAATAAGTAAATTGCTATTTAAAAATTATTGTACTTGTGCTATTTAAAATTTTTGCTAGTTTTAATTTTGATTACACGACGTTATTCTGTGAACATGAATTGAATACGTCATGATCCATTAAAAAAAAAACAAAATGTGTGCAATTCACACGGGGTAGAAGTGAAACCTTCCAAAATTAAAATACAATTAACCTAAACGTCTTAAGTATATGTAAAATTTTGTCATTAGTAAATAATTGTAAGGTAGCGCCCTCTGTGAATTGATATTTTAATTTCACGTATAATCCTAAATTAAAATTCACTACAAGAGCTTTCATACACACGTTAGTATTATAAAAATCTCACAGATGGCGCTGTATTAAATAGTATGTATATTTCTGTCTCATTCTTTTGTATTTGTGTCTCTTACCTGTCGTTTTTTCCGTTGCATCCGGTTTGAAATCACAACGATTCTAAAGAAGTTTTCACTTCAAAAATTTAAAAAAATGGCTCGGTCCCCCGGATTCGAACTTAGGCACAGTCGCGTCACTCAATACTACACCTCGACACCGGCCGTCTTATCATTTAGGCCGCGACCAATTTGAAGGGCCGTCCAAAATTAAATAGGTTGTCGCATATTTTGCATTTGTCTCTCTAAAATCTCTTCAAATTCTCCGTCTTCGAAAACTGATTTCGATTATAAAAAAAACATCAAAATTTACGCGTCATCAATTAATTTCAAACGTTACCTTACACTGCTCCGCGAACAAAGCGAATCAGCTTAATCAAATTTGTATGGAGTTGGAACAGCTTCCCTTCGTTTACCGCTAGGAGCGCTGTTTAGCAGCAGCGTTATAATACTCATTGTAAAAAATTCATATTTAAAAAAATTATAATCTAATATTAAAAAATAAATAAATAATAATTTCATATTTAAAAAAAAAAAAAAAAGACGTGCCCGCTGAGTTTCTTGCCAATTCTTCTCAGGACGGAGGCTAGTTCTTGTGAATTGGCGGTAGTTCTTTATGACGTTCAACAAGTATGTACTTTCATTTATGTTGAATAAAAATTTTTGATTGGTTTTGATTTGATTTGATTTCAAATCCATACAAATTTGAGTTAACTTTTACGTGATCGAGAATTCAAATCAAATTTGTATGGAGTTGGAACAGCTTCCCTTCGTTTACCGCTAGGAGCGCTGTTTCAAATCCATACAAATTTGAGTTAACTTTTACGTGATCGAGAATTCAAATCAAATTTGTATGGGGTTGGAACAGCTTCCCTTCGTTTACCGCTAGGAGCGCTGTTTCAAATCCATACAAATTTGAGTTAACTTTTACGTGATCGAGAATTCAAATCAAATTTGTATGGGGTTGGAACAGCTTCCCTTCGTTTACCGCTAGGAGCGCTGTTTCAAATCCATACAAATTTGAGTTAACTTTTACGTAATCGAGAATTCAAAAAAACTCGCACTAAGCCCATTGGTCGGATCTTGATGCAATTTAAAGACGGACCACACGAGAAGCACTACTGGTAGGACCTCTTGTGAGTCTACTCTTGTGAGTCCGCACGGGTAGGTACCCTGCCTATTTCTGCCGTGAAGCAGTAATGCAGTAATTTGAAGGGCGGGGTAGCCGTTGTGACTCTACTGAGACGTTATAACTTATGTCTCAAGGTGGGTGGCGCATTTACGTTGTAGATGTCTATGGGCTCCAGTAACCACTTTGCACCAGGTCAGCTCGTCCACACATCTAAGCAATAAAAAAAAAGAATAGTACATTGTGCACATACTACTTTTTCTCCTACCAGGCCGAAAGTTTGTGGAGTATCGAGCCAGGGTCCAGGGGCGAAGTCCTGGCCGGGGGTAGGGGGGGGGTGGAGCCCCCCCCCATACTCATAAAAAAAACAATTTAACTATTTTTTTATTTTTTAATAAACTACTACTAATTGAATAAGAACTGTCTGATGAACTCATCCTTGTTTAATACTTCACTATTAAATTTTGTAGCCTTTTGTTTAATTCACTTTTACACTATACACAATATTGCAAATTACCCGAGCACAACAATGGCGGAGAATTATAGGTGCGTGAGAGCAGACGTAGACACTAACGCGCATGCGCACTTGTCAGTACCCAGGGAGAAAAAGTTACACTTTCTTCCCTGTACAGCGGGAGGAAAAGTTACACTTTCTTCCCTGTACAGCGGGAGGAAAAGTTACACTTTCTTCCCTGTACAGCGGGAGGAAAAGTTACACTTTCTTCCCTGTACAGCGGGAGGAAAACCGAACTTTCGGCGTAGGTAGGAGAAAAAAGAAAAGCTCTCGAGGCAACAAGACACAAGATATACAGTAGAACCACATTATTTTTCGAAGTCCGTGAAAAGCCTCTGGGTATGCGGAGGGACTTCGGTTCCCTCTGTATTTTGTACCGCATGTTCCATGGGGAATGCTCTGAGGAATTGTTCGAGATGATACCAACGTCTCGTTTTTACCATCGCACCGCCCGCCACCGGAGTAGAGTTCATCCATACTACCTGGAGCCACTACGGTCATCCGCAGTGGGTTTCCAGAGATCTTTTTTGCCACGTACCATCCGGCTATGGTATGAGCTCCCCTTCACGGTGTTTCCCGAGCGCTATGACATGTCCTTCTTCAAACGAGGCTTGTGGAGAGTATTAAGCGGTAGGCAGCGGCTTGGCTCTGCCCTTGGCATTGCTGAAGTCCATGGGCGACCTTAACCACTCACTATCAGGTGGGCCGTATGCTCGTCTGCCTACAAAGGCAAAAACAAAAAAAAACAAAAAAAAACTTTGCCCATACAGATGAGGGAATCTACCATGAGCAGCGAGGGTCAGTGCAAGAAGACACCGGATTGGCCGTGAAGGGGCAGTATCAATACGTCGCTCCCGACGGGCAGGTAAGTCATACTTAAATAGCAGTTCTTGCCCAAAGTTGATCGTGACAGATCATGACCTTGTACAAAAATATTACATATCTATAAACACTACCTATGCTTCACTATACAATAATTGTCTAAAATTTAAACTAGCATTGTAGAATACACACAAAAAAGTGAAAGTGAATACTAAATTATTCTTAGCGTTCTTATAAGTATTTAGAAATTTAAGAGACGATTATAACACATAGTGGCCCGCTTCGGCTTCGCTCGGATCTTTAACAAAAGCTTTAGTAAGGATCCCTAATTTTTGTTAAAAAAAAATAACCTATGTCACTCGGAGATGGTGTAGCTTCCAAACAGTGAAAGAATTTTTCAAATCGGTTCAGTAGTTTCGGAGCCTATTCAATACAAACAAACAAACAAATCTTTCCTCTTTATAATATTAGTATAGATATAGATTCATGTTCATAATAAGTGAAATTTTGTTCTGCACAAACGTTTTGTTACATGATTTGAGAAAAACAAAACAAAAAATGTTTAAAAAATGTAATGATGATTTATAAAGTACTCTTAAATATTTATGGTTTGTACTTAATGACGCTTATAGAAATCTTAGACATGATTACAATAGTTATAGTTTTATTTCATATCTAAGTTTGCTTGTAGCCTAATAAGCTATTCTAGCTACACTATGTCTGGTAGGTGAGCTCACGGTGCTAAATCTGAAAGGGATTTTCTAACCCTAGCAAGAGCAGTGCTTCCCAGAATCTACCACCGGATCGGAAACGGAACCCACTGAGAAGATCCGGCGAGAAACTCAGTGGGCTGTGTCTATGGGCTAGTTCGCTCGTCGAGCTGACGATGACTGGTAATTTATGAGCCTAAAAGCACCGAGCCTGGAACCTGGTTATCCGACAATGTTTCGGGCGACGCGACGGCGGATTTACGTTGCCCCATCGCCTGAGTTGGATGTGTAATTAGGGGCGGCCACGTTAAGAGGGTTTTCGTGTCGCGCCGCTTTTTCGAAGTAGCGTTCTAACGCTTTCATTAAATACATACGAATCGGTTCTAAATGTCCCCGGGCTCTATCCAAGTTAGAAAGAGGATTAGCTGGTATTGGCAGAACGTATCAGGCGAATTGTTTGCTTTTAAAGAGTAAAGTCTTAATTTTATTAAATATAACGGCTGTCCCACCCTTCAAATCGAAACGCATTTTTTTATTGCTTAGATGGGTGGACGAGCTTACAGCCCACCTGGTGTTAAGTGGTTACTGGAGCTCATAGACATCTGCGACGTAAATGCGCCACCCACCTTGAGATATAAGTTTTAAGGTCTCAAGTATAGTTACAACGGCTGCCCCACCCTTCAAACCGAAACGCATTACTGCTTCACGGCAGAAATAGACGGGGTGGTGGTACCTACCCGCGCGGAATCACAAGAGGTCTTACCTCCAGTAAAGAAGAGGTCCTACCACTAGTAAACTGCTTAAGGGCAGAAATAGTAGTGGTACCTATCCGTCCGGGCTCACAAGGCGTCCTACCACCAGCAAAATGACTAAAGATCAGTTTTAATCTCTTCCAATGCTCTTCGTGTTCACAGGTGATCAACGTGCTGTACAGTGCTGACGAGAATGGGTTTCAAGCGAGCGGCGCTCACCTGCCGACACCCCCACCAGTCCCGCCGGCCATACAAAAAATCATTGACTACCTCAACAGCCATCCGACAGAGCCGACTCGGATATAAATAAAAAACGCGCCCCGCCGAATCCGTGTGCGCGCATTCGAGAACATTCCTTCATTTTTACGCGCTCTTTTCTCCGTCAGATTATTTTTCTTTAATTTTTGGTTCCGACACGGTTTGTGCATTAGCCAGCGTCAAGTAATAACACTTTTATAATTCGCCGTTTTAATTATTTACAGTTTATGAATAATAATAAAAACTAAGGAAACTAGTCGTGACATAACGTAAATCATTAAAAACGAATTAAATTTACAAATGAGATGATATGTGATTAAATATAATCTCATTAAAATGGTGGTAATTTAATAAATACTTTTTGGAGGTTTCCGAGAAGCTAAGTCCAGCGGCTTTGTTTCATTTTCCCGCAATTGTGCACTTTCACACATTCTAAACAGTTAATAAGCCACAGTTATTCATTTAAGCCCGAAGAAACATTAAATAGACAAAATAAAACAATTCACACAACTTCGTACCTCGCATTCCCGCCAAAAAGTCGTCAGATTCTTTAATGAGTTTGACACCGAATTTGACAGCTGTGACAAAATCACAGACTATAGTTTATTAAGGCTATGTTCCGATTATGGAGTGTAGAGGTAAGGAAAACCGTTTCATTTTAGAAAAGCTTGAAAAAGTGTCCCACTTTCAGCACTAAATAACAGCTCAAAAATCCTCCAGAATGGCGCTATCATAGCCACAGGGTATGATATGAATTGAGCAGTTGCTTACTGATTGAAGTATGCTGAGTTAGGAAATTTAATATATTTAATGACTAGAGTAGTTTGTGACAGTGTAATATACAAGACCTCACATGTTTACGTAGTCCAAACTAATTTCGTCAATATAACCTAAAATTATGGCTGTGGTAAAACGTAGAGACATCGATTGCATTTTCTTATCAGCTTAAAATAACATACTTTTTGTGATTTTGTAGCGCTTACAGTTCTTTCGTCCTTTTTTATTTCTCTATCTTATTCTAATAACTTTCGGCGCCTTTTCTAAGATTAACCCGGTTGCCACTGTAGCACCACCCTTATAGGACACTTTTTCACACACTGAGACAGTTCTCCTTACCTCTATCCTCCATACTTTTTACGCGCTCTTTTCTCCGTCAGATTCTTCTTCTTTAAATTTTGGCTTCGGCACGGTTTGTGTATTAGCCAGCGTCAAGTAATAAGATTTTTATAATTCCTCGTTTTAATTATTTACAGTTTATGAATAATAATAAAAACTAAGGAAACTAATGATTAAATTATTAAAAACGAATTAAATGTACAAATAAGATGACATGTGATGAAATATAATCTCCTTAAAATGGTGGTCATTTAATAAAGACTTTTTAGGGGATCCCGAGAAGCTAACTCCAGCAGCTTTGTTTCATTTTCTCACAATTGTGCACTTTCGCGGATTCTAAACAGTTAATAAAGCACCGTTATTACACATTTAAACTTCGTTCCTCACGTTCCCGCCAAAAAGTCGTCAGATTCTTTAATGGAACTTGACCCGAATTTGACAGCTGTGTCAAAATCACAGACTATAGTTTATTAAGACTATGTTCGATATGCATTGCGGGCAGGTAGGCTCACTGAATTTGGCCCACTTTTTTGATTTTCGGATTTTTTTATTTTTGTTCGTCGTTTGTTCGTTAATGTTCGAATGTAAAAATTGTTTATTCGTCTTTTACTTGTTTATAATTAATTAAACAAATGATCACCCTTAAGTCGGCCCCCCTTACTAGATATCTTTATTTTTATCGCTCAGATTAATCAATTATCGTTTGTTCGACGACTATTGGTGATTGTTCGATCATAAAAACAATTAAATTCCTAATTCTTAATTATTTTATATCTAATAAGCGAACCATCACCTCACGCCTACATTGCGCATGCGCCGGTTTTGTCAGTCAGCTGGCAATGGCCCTATTTAACAATATATCAATCAAGATACTTCTCGATAATAATAATTAAGATAATATAGACGTAAAAATTAAAAAAAAATCCGATAATCAAAAAAAGGGGGGTCAAATTCCGTGAGCCGGGCAGGTATGACGTCAGGTATATTAGGTATACTGCGAAGCTGTTCCTTTATAGTTAGCTAGTCGCTGTTCAAAAACGGACAACAGTACAATAAACTGTCATGTTACAATACAATAAAATGTCATGTAAACTTTATGTTGTTTTAAAAAAATATTTTTTTTAATTTAACTAGATCAAAATAATTGAACATTCAAGTTATTGTCAGTTGAATTGATCGCCTATAAACGTAACAATACTTTTTAGTAATAGAAAATATTGTTTTTCAATCAATTTAATGTATGTACCTTATAACCGAATTATTGAAATGAGGTTGTGCACGATAAAAGTGATCACGTGATCACCTTACTTCGGAAACACCTGCAGTGATCACAGTAGAAAAATGGCGACTATTTATGACGTCATATATTTCTATAAGATACTGCGACTGTATTCAGTCAGTCAGTTCACAATGGAATCAATTTCTTCCCAGTGAGAGCACTGAACAATGCTCGCAGTGTATATTGGAACGTAGCCTCAATGTAGTGACATACGCGTGACAGTTAACAGTGACATTTCTTTGCGATCCGTTAGTATGACTAAGGAAGTAATGGCCTAAAGGTCAAGATACCAGGCCATAAACTCAAAAAAAAAAGTCTTTTGAAAATAGTACCATACTAATATTCAAACTTATAATTTTAATTAATTATTGTCGAATTTCGACTACTGAGGGTCTACTATAGTAGAATTATTTTGTCCGTGCAGTTTGGGTCATAAAAAATCGGAGTGGTGAAGCGAGTATTTTTCTCTCTCTTCCACTCACGAGCCTTATGGACGGACATAGTGATGCGCATTGTTGTTGTCGATAAGCGTTATCGATAGTGTATTTAGTTTTGTCATTTTGTGGATTAGTGATACAAATGAAAGAAAAAATCACTAATCGAACACTTACACCACATATCGCCGCAGCAAGTTAACGAGAACGGCAGAAATTAACACTTTGTAACTTTTCGATACCTATTCTTAATTCAGTGAAAAAATTTAACACATTGTTGATAACAATACGTGCAAATATTATTTTAAATAAATTCACCCGTTTTTAAACAAAACAAAGGAGTAGCCATTGTGTCACCAAGAAATTCAGAGAACGAAAACACATTTCTCTTCGACATAATTTACTATAACTTGCAGGTAAGTACAATTGACTCATAACATAACAATGTCTTACCACCCTTCGTATACCACCCTGCCGCCGTGTCCCTGCCTTCGATGACTCATTTGTTTTTATCGATAATGGCGTTGCGCTCGCGCAACATGCTCACCGTCCAAGCCGGGCTACGTTTTATGACCCAAACTGCACGGACAAAATAATTCTACTATAGTATTAGTTACTTTGTCAATCTAATGCCGGCCACTCACATGCGCCCAAATATTCGTACATTGTACGAATGTTTGCGCGCATGTGAAGGGCCGTCAAACATTCATTCGCAAACCTAGCGGCTAGGCGGCTGTGCAAATGGGTTCGCATACTTAATTTGCGAAGCCGTTTGCGCTTCCTCCTACACTTGTTTACGAATGTCTCACGAATTTCTCCTCCTTTTTAATTCGTCAATAGAACATTGAAAAGAAAAAGAGTCTTGAATTCTTTCCCAAACATCATTAACAGCCATGCTGTTTTTATGGGATTTCTTTTGATGAAGATACGCTACACAGTAGACGTCACGAACTATGAAAATGGCGATACGTCCGTTACCTTCGCAATCGTCGGCGCAATTGGGCAAACGAATGTGTGGGAGACTACGCGAAGGTTCGCGGTTCGCGCGCTTTGATGTCTGTTAAAAAACCGACACAGCTTGGAAAACCACGAATGCAGCGAAAACTTTGCATAATCATTTGCAAATGTCTTCCCACACTTGCGGGTTTGCGTATTCGTGCGCATGTGACTGACCGGTGTAAGTACTGAGTAATGCATTGTGAAAACATTTCGCTATCTCTTTCGCACGCCCGTACTTTATAGCGGTAATCTCAAGAACCTCATTACCTACTCTGGGTTTTGGAATTGCCAATACAAAAAATAATAATTTAAGTCAGTCATTTCTGAAGGAATTCATATTAATCAGAAGGGTTTTGAAACTTCAGTGTATGTATGCGTTAAATAAATAAAATATGATTAATAAGTTTTTTGGTCTTTTTTTTTCATTGCTTCGATGAGTGGATGTCCATCTGGTGTTATATATATGGTTACCGGAGCCCATGGACATTTACAATGTAAATGCCGCCACCCACCTTGAGATATGAGTTTTAATGTCTCAGATTTTAGAGTACAACAGCTGCCCCGCCCTTCAAACCAAAACGCATTCCTGCTTCACGGCAGAAATAGGCAGGATGGTGGTACCTACCCGTGCGGGCTCACAAAATGTCCTAGAAGTAATCTCGCCGGATCTTCTCAGTGGGTCGCGATTACGATCCGGTGGCAAATTGCCCTTGCTAGGGCTAGTGATGTCCGGTAAAACTATTATAACCCATCGCGGCTACTAGATTAAGTAGGCAAAAATATATATTGAGAAAGTTGCTGATTTGCTTCAGGTTTCTTGTCAACCGTCTTTAATTTTACGATATCTAGCTCTACTGCAGTGTTTGATATGTACTTCGTATATCGCGACCCGCTCCGCTCACAGTAGTAATAAACCAGCTGTTATTACGTACGGTCGTTTCATTGCCCCTAAGTTCCGATACAACAACTGGCGACGAATTACCCACAAGTGCATATTATATATATTAAAAAAAATATATATGGCTCAACTTATGGGAAACATATCTGAGTTTGATTATAAAACCCAAGAAACAACCGTAATTTGCCGCCATTTTTCTTTCTTTCTCGGCTCCTACTGTTTTCGCCGTATCGTCAACAGATGGCGTAAGGTGGCAAAAAGAACTAACACGAAAAGGAAGTACCAAAAAATACGACTTATCCAAAAAATAAAAAGTGTCTCAATGATTTATAATATAATTTTACTTGACAGTAAACACAAGCGTGTACACGTAAGTATTATTTTGCGAACAAAATTATTTTTCCGCTGCACTATGTTCCTGAAATAGGAAAAAGTCACTTTAGATTTCAATAGATACACAAAAGATTCGTTGATGAATAGAATTAAATAAAAAAAACCGTTAAAGAGTTATACCCTGCCTATTTCTGCCGTGAAGCAGTAATGCGTTTCGGTTTGAAGGGCGGGGCAGCTGTTACATTGTAAAAATTAAGACTTTTGAACTCATATCCTAAGGTAGGTGACGGCATTGATGTTGTATATGTCTATGGGCTCCGGTAACCGCTTAACATCAGATGGGCCGTCAACTCGACCAAAACTAAGCAACAATAATAATAATAAATAAATTCACTGGAAGCTAGTCGAAACTAATCACCAATAGTCCAAACATTAATATAACGTTAAAATAAGAAAATGAACTAATCTATTGATGTTGATTTTAAGGGAAGAATCGTCCCTAATACCACCCCCCCCCCAACCCCCCAACACCCCGCCCCCGTCAAAAACTTCCTTACTGCTACTATCTTCGCCGATTCGCGCCTTGAGCTCCGTGCGGTGGGGGAACCTCCCTTTCTTGCCACCAAGTAAAGAGAAATGTTCCGACCGCCACAACTGCCATCGCGCCTAGTGCTAGTGCATTAGCCTGAAAAATAAATAAAAATGAAAGAGACAAAATAAAACAAAATGTGGTGTCGAAAATAAAACAAAATGTGGTGTCGGGAACGAAGTTCCTTCGGCTAGTGTAGAATCGACACAATTTGCAAAAAAAAAACGTGCTCAATTTTATGTTGGTTTTCTTGATTTTTCTCTTAAATTTTTCTGATTAGTTTTTATTTAAGTACAGGAAAGTATTTAGGAAATTCAGTATTTTAGGAAATAATAAATTACGTAAAATAAAAATAAAATCGTAATTCAAATTATCAAAATTATCAATTAACATAACAAAATATGTCTCTTTATTTTTGTTTGACAACATAAAATTACATAGAAATAGAAATAATTACACAATAGAGAGAGAAGGGATGAGAGAACGAAAAGAAAGAAGGAGAAAGAGAAAGGTATTATACACTACTCGCTTGTGTATACGACTGTCGCGCCTGCGCACGTCTCATTTAACGGTTTTATTCCACGCACTTTTTTCCACGGATTTTTTCTTACGGTTTTACTATCACATTTTTTTCAGTTTGGTCGCGCAGCAAAATCCCTATCGCCTCCAAGCCTGCCGTAAGGAACTTCGTTCCAAAAAATACTTGATACTCCTAGATTGCTTATATAAATACTAGCTTCTGCCCGCGGCTTTGTCCGCGTGGAATAGTTACTTTGGCATAACGCATAAATTTTAGCCACCTCTTCATTTAGGTACGTAGAAAGTGAAAATATTTTTGAATAATAGAATGTTAAGGAGTTATTTAAGGTACGGAAATCACGCTTTTTAAGCGACTTGCATTGGTCTTAGCGTGATGTTAAGCAGCCTGCTTAACATCAAACAAAATATTTCAGTGTTAGATAACACTGAAATATTTTTTCAAATCGGACCAGTAGTTCCTGAGATTAGCGCGTTCAAACAAACAAACTCTTCAGCTTTATACTCGTAATATTGAAGTGAAACTTCTAATGCAACTTCCAACAAGGTTGTGTTAAACATTTAACGCTACCATGGAATAGAAAGAGACAGAGCGAGAGTGAATGCGTGTCACTCGAGCGCATGCGCGTACCTAGTATACCTGTTACAGGCCAGCGCGAGCGTTAGCAATGAGTAGCGTCTAATATTTTAATGAAGTATTTAAATATAGCTTTGTAGTTTTGTAGTTTTGTAGCTAAACGAAACGCAACACGATTCCCGACAGATGGCAGCACAATTGCGGTGTCGTCGGAACTCGGCTAACTTCGTGCTACGACAGAGCCTAGCCGATGGAGGCGCGTAGACGCCAACACATGATCACACTTACTAACCAGCATTCTTGAAGTTTTGGTATGAAGGGTGGGGCAGCCGTTTTAAGTATACTTGAGACCTTAGAACTTGTGTCTCAAGGTGGGTGGCGCAATTAGATTGTAGATGTCTATGGGCTCCAGTAACCACTTAACGCCAGGTAGGCTGTGAGCTCGTCCACCCATCTAAGCAACAAAAATAAAATAAAATTATCTGGGTCATTGCACTTTTTCGCATTAATAATACATACGAGCCAAATTATCATTTTCGATAATTCTGATATTGAGCTATCTTATCTGTATAATCTTGGATTGATTTGACAAAAGAAGCAGCTATATATTATGAATAAAAAATGGATTTAGTCTTTCAAAACTTTGCCGAATATTCATGTTAGCATCGTCTGGGTATACAGATAAACGGTTAAGTGTCACTAGATAGAATATGGCGGCTGGATACCAGTCGTGCTGGTGGCCCAGAGCCCCGGAACCTCGCCACAGGAGGATACCTCCGGGTCGCGGTAGGGGACTGCCTTCAAGGATATCTACTGATGCCTATTCACTGGTAGCCTAAGAGGCTATTAGAACTACGCCCGGACGGGTAGGTGAGCTCACGGGCTCAACCTGAGAGAATTTGTTAATACTAGCCCTTTAGCAAGAGCAGTTTTTTTTACCTACCTAAGCTGATGGTCTTGAGAGACCATTTCAGCGTAAACTTAACTAGTAGGTAGCTCACGGGGCTCAAACCTGACGACGTTGCTAACACTGACCCTAGCAGTGCTTCGCAGAATCTACCACCGGATCGGAAACGCGACCCACTGAGAAGATCCGGCGAGAAACTCAGTGGGCTGTGTCTGTGAGTTAATTTTCAGGACGAACCCTTCGTCATAAAAATCATACCNTTGAGAGATCATTTCAGCGTAAACTTAACTAGTAGGTAGCTCACGGGGCTCAAACCTGACGACGTTGCTAACACTGACCCTAGCAGTGCTTCGCAGAATCTACCACCGGATCGGAAACGCGACCCACTGAGAAGATCCGGCGAGAAACTCAGTGGGCTGTGTCTGTGAGTTAATTTTCAGGACGAACCCTTCGTCATAAAAATCATACCCGCCAAAATTATTATTTGAGTATATAATTACTAGTGTGAGTCCGCAAGAGTAGGTACCAGCAATCCCCCCCCACCCCTCGATTTGTATGGATTATCGTTTTTTTTTTTTTCGGGTAGAGCGCCGAACCTCCTACGAGGTCGCCGCGCAAAAGGGGCGCGCGGCGTATGTGAGACTCAACGATCTGCATGGTGTTGTGAGCAGACCGCGGGCCCAAGGATTATCCTTATTATATTATGTATGGATTATCCTGCGTTAAAAAAAAGCAAAAAGGTACCACCACTCTGCCTCTTTCTGTCGTGAAGCAATAACACGTTTCGGTTGAAGGGTAGGGCAGTTGTTGTACTGTAAAAACTCATGCCTCAAGGTGGGCGGCGGCATTTACGTTGATGATGTCAACGGGTCCCGCTAGTCACTTAACAGCTGGTTGGTCGTGAACGCGTTCACTCTAAGCAATAAAAAATATACTTATAAAATTACACATGCTCAGCTAATTAGACCTGTTCGTAAATATATATATATAAAATTACACATAATATTCAGATAATTATATTAGACCTATTTATTCGTTTTAATTGTTTATTAGGAAAAGGAAATGATTAAACTCACAGCGGATGTGTTGCTGCCCTGCGAATTAGAATTCTTGGTCATCGCAAAATGGCGATTTATTTGTGCAACGGAAAAACGATTGTGATGGAACACTTCAATGCACGATACAAATTGAAAACGAGACAAAACTAGCTTGCCGTTTCACAATTCACTGTCATTCGCCGCCATAATTTGTTGTCTGACTGAAAGGAATTTACGTAATTCCCCGAACAAAATATACGTTTGATCTATAAGCGCGTTCCGTTTATGTTTTTAATATATCACTATGCGCATACCTAATTTTATTTCTTGAAAACAATAAGTTTCGTATGTGGTAAATAAAAATCTAAAACAAAGTGAAATAGATAATTGACATGTTGATGAAATGACATGTAAAAACGTATTCTTGTATTTTGAAAAATTATATTGAAATAATTATTTTCTTCGTATAAAGAAACTTCCATTCAATCGGATGGGGATTATCTGTGAACTATCTCGAGAAAAACCAGATTCAAATGAATGTTCAAGGCTACTGCGTAAAACCACTATTTACACTTATTTTATATATTATATCATAAATCTGATTCTAATAAGTTTTATTTAATTAAATGAAGCCTTCCCAACGTTTTGTTTATTGGATTCATATACAAATAGCAGTGCCAAATTTTCAAATCGATAATTTCGATTCTATACTAACGTACGAGCACATCACTAAACCACAAAAAATTACTGTAATTCTAGCATCACATCGACCTATCTCTCTCCAACAGCGCCAAAATAGACAGAAATAAAGATAATGCTAATTAAAAGACATTTCATGTCATCAAATCTGGATCAATGTATAGTTACATCAAAACATAAATATTTTCGTTGACTTGGTATTTTTTAATTTCGATTATTTTTAATTAATAATGAGTGTACGCGAGGAAGACAGGCAGAAAACGGGATGCACTGGTCGCGGCCTTGGGATCGCGGCCGCGGTCGGTGTCGGCGTTGGTGCTGCTTTGTATTACTTCTTAAGCAAAAGGCCTGAGCAACCCGATACTGAGGGTTCCACCAGTTCTGCGTGGGCATACAACGATCACAGTGCTTTGTAAGTAATAATAATATTTTTGTAATATTCTTGAACTTTTTACGTAGGTACATAAATACGTAAAAAAAAATTACATAAACAGAAAACGGTAAGCCATTTTTTTTCAAATCCACCTACATTACCTTTTTTTGGCGCTTTTTTGAGCACGCTTATAAAGAGATTCCATTATTTTTTTTCATACATACAAACGTGCTAAGTTACCTGCAGTGCATTTTTCCGTACATAAACAGTTACTATTAGAATAAATATTTTAAATTGCATCATTATTTTAAGGTATTGTGTGTTCTTAATTTTTTTGGGTGTTTTATAAAAGTATAATTTCGAATAGATTTAAAAACTAGTTGATAATCGACGAAATGAATTTGTATTGTGTCATGTCAATCTATCAGAGTTTTAGTGTGATAATAATGTCGAAAATAAAAACTTCTTTTGACACATCACTTAACACATAGCATTTGGAGAAACTTATTGAGGGGTAAAAGTCTATCTGGCTTAAGCGACATTTTTGCAACTTTACAGGAGAGCCTTAAAAAAGTTTAAAATTGGGAAAAAATATCATATCAAAAGAATTTCTTAAGCTATGTATTTGAATGGAGTAAACATAATTGGCGTTTAATTAAAACAATGGAATTGTTAATACTAATACCAAATAAAACGGTTCATTAATTACAAAGATAATTTCATTGTATTTTTTTATTGCTTAGATGTGTGGATGAGCTCATAGCCCACCTGGTGTTAAGTGGTGACATCTTCAACATAAATGCCCCACCCACCTTGAGATATAAGTTAACTACTTAACACCAGGTGGGCTGTGAGCTCGTCCACCTATCAAAGCAAAAAAAAAAGGTCTCTAGTATAGTTACAACGGCTGCCCCACCCTTCAAAACGAACCACATTACTGCTTCACAGCAGAAATAAGCAGGGTGGTGGTACCTACCCACGCGGACTCACAAGAGGTCCTACCACCAGTAATAAATGTTGCTTTAACTCAATACCTTCACCCCTCGATATAGTTTTAATGTTGATATTCAGTTGTGATAACTGGGGATACAGGTTGCAAAGGAATTGTGATCATTTGTAATTTTTACAAACTTCTGAAATGAGAATATTAGTGTTTTAACATTAGCACAACTGGTGCCAAAAACTGTAGTCAGCGGCTTGGCTGTATCCTAAGGTATTGTTAATGTCCATGAATGACAGGGAACACTTACCATCAGGTGAACCATAGTAGACATATACACAAATAGCTGTTATTGCCCATACTAGATGCTTACATAAATAGTTCCCCACTAAACTGTATTAAAATATTAAAACATGAAATCAAATTTAATTCTAGTACATTATTTTAAAATATAATAGCAATAATCTGATAGTCTTATTTGTATAGCAGTTGGCTAGATACTCGGTAAACACCTTCAGAATTTTTATTTGTACATGCTATTAATGCATTTTGCATTGGCATAAAAACAATGCATTACGCATCCGATAGTCAAAGCTTGGCTTAAATAACAATCTTCACTGTCTTAGTAGTTTTTATTTATTGGTTTTTTTATTACCTACTATATGTTTCAATGTTAATGACATGAAACAGAAAAAAATCACCACAAACCATAACCCGCTCATTTATTTGCACTAACTACATTAATATATAGACACTTGAAAGGCAAATGTGACTAAGTGACAAGACAATGCATGAACTTTACAGTAGACTAATTTAAAGTTGAAATACCTGAAAACAAAATTTATTTTAAAGAATCTAGCTGTAGTAGAATCTAGCTAGTAGATGTAGGATTGAAATGATTTTAATAGACCTAGAAATATATATATATTTTTTGCGCATCGAATATGGTTATTGCCTATCATTTATGTACAAAGCAGTTATTGTCGCTTAGTCACGTTTGCCTTTCAAACGTCGATATGCTTTTCATCACTCATTTTTGTCAATTCATAGCCCATTAACAGATAGAATGGACTCGGATAGCTATTCCACGATATCAGAACACAGCACGTCCGATACAAGCATAATAGAAGACTCGATGCCAGATACAAGCATTTCTAGCTGCCGTTCAGAATCTACGAATAGCGTATCAAGTGATCAAGATGTGTCTAACACTGAAGATACACATTCACCTTCGAACAATGACACCAGAGGTTCAGGTTCGATCTATTCAGATGACGCTGAAGAATCTGATGAGGACACAACATACGATACTGATACGTCCATTTCTGAAATCAGCGATTTAGATGAGTCACATGAGAACCGGAGTGTGACCCTCGAGACAGGGTATCTGTCGTTTCAAAACGTCGAGGAAAGAGTGGATTCTGATTCCGATATTCAAATGGAATGGGACATCACTAATTCTTCTATCGATGTACCCTTTGAGGAGAGACGGTCTCCGTTAATGATGTTTTTTAGTGGATTAACGCATATAATAAGTCCAAGGAGAAAGTGAGTAAATGATTTTAACAAAAGACACCGACTGTGGGATCTGAATAGTTATTGTTATTTTCATATATATTTTATTAATTTAACCCTTGGCCTCCCGTAGGTCACCGGTGTCCTACGCGGCGCACCGAAGTTCTTGTCGGTTTCTGTTACTCCGTCATTCGTGGCCTTTTTTTTTCCTACCCATTCTAGAAAGCTCGAGGTCATACTAGATTCACTAGTCGAGTAGGAGGTGAGCTTACGGGGTGCTAACCCATGGACGTTGCTAAGGGCTTGTACACAAAACTGCGAATCGGCGCGATGCGAATAGGCATGATGACTAATTTTCAAAATCTATTCTATGATTAAAGCGAAAACAATAGTTTTTTTTTTCGTTAAAATTGCATTGATCGCGCGTAGGCTCAAACGAAATAAGATGACGGTTACTGAGGCGTGACGTAATTCGCTCTGATTGGTGTTTAAGCTAACATGGCTGATTGTTGTATTTTGTAGATTCATTTTAACAAATAAATCATACATCACGTCATTAATATGAAAATAAATACATTTTTCAAAATCGTTGAATCCTGTTTCATTAGATCAGTTAAATATTTTGGTGATACTTGACTATTGTCATCATGCCTAAGAGGTACACAAAACAGTGACACGAATTCGTGCGGCAAGGCATTTCCTTCCACAATTGTCTTTCAATATTTTTTTATTGCTTAGATGAGTGGACGAGCTCACAGCCCTTCTGGTGTTAAGCTCTGGTGGAGCCCATAGACATCCACAACGTAAATGCGCCACTCACCTTGAGATATAAGTTATAAGATCTCAAGTATAGTTACACAATTCCACAATCGTTTCATATCGCAGGAATGCGTACGCGAAATCAATTCGCAATTTCTTGCGATGCGTCGTGGGAGCTCGTAGATTTATACGATGCGTCGTGGGAGCTCGTAGATTTTTACGATGCGTCGTGGGAGCTCGTATATTTANATTATACGTGAAATTAAAATATCAATTCACAGAGGGCGCTACCTTACAATTATTTACTAATGACAAAATTTTACATATACTTAAGACGTTTAGGATAATTGTATTTTAATTTTGGAAGGTTTCACTTCTACCACGTGTGAATTGCACACATTTTGTTTTTTTAATTTAACCCTTGGAAACTCGTAGGTCACCGGTGTCCTACGCGGCGCACCGAAGTGATTATATCGATTTCTGTTACTCCGTCATTCGTGGCCTTTTTTCCTACCTATTTTAGAAAGCTCGAGGTCATACTAGATTCACTAGCCGACTAAGTGAGCTTACGGGGTTCTAACCCATGGACGTTGCTAAGGGCTTGTACACAAAACTGCGAATAGGCATGATGACTAATTTTCTATCTATTCTATCTAATCTATTCTATAATTAAAGCGAAAACAATAGTTTTTTTTTTCGTTAAAATCGCATTGATCGCGCGTAAGCTCAAACGAAACAAGATGACTTTTACTGAGGCGTGACGTAATTCGCTCTGATTGGTGTTTAAGCTATCATGGCTGATTGTTGTATTTTGTAGATTCATTTTAACAAATAAATCATACATCACGTCATTAATATGAAAATAAATACATTTTTCAAAATCGTTGAATCCTGTTTCATTAGATCAGTTAAATATTTTGGTGATACTTGACTATTGTCATCATGCCTAAGAGGTACACAAAACAGTGACACGAATTCGTGCGGCAAGGCATTTCCTTCCACAATTGTCTTTCAATATTTTTTTATTGCTTAGATGAGTGGACGAGCTCACAGCCCTTCTGGTGTTAAGCTCTGGTGGAGCCCATAGACATCCACAACGTAAATGCGCCACTCACCTTGAGATATAAGTTATAAGATCTCAAGTATAGTTACACAATTCCACAATCGTTTCATATCGCAGGAATGCGTACGCGAAATCAATTCGCAATTTCTTGCGATGCGTCGTGGGAGCTCGTAGATTTATACGATGCGTCGTGGGAGCTCGTAGATTTTTACGATGCGTCGTGGGAGCTCGTATATTTATACGATGCGTCGTGGGAGCTCGTAGATTTGTACGATGCGTCGTGGGAGCTCGTAGATTTGTACGATGCGTCGTGGGAGCTCGTAGATTTTTACGATGCGTCGTGGGAGTTCGTAGATTTTTACGATGCGTCGTGGGAGCTCGTAGTTTACGATGCGACGTCGCATCGCAGCTATGTGTACAAGCCCTAACTCTAGCCCTAGCCAGAGCGCTGCTTGGCAGAATCTACCACCCGCTGAGATGATCCGGCGAGAAACTCAGTGGGCTGTGTCTGTGGGTTTGTCCGTGACCACTATAAATGAGTCGTCTATTATCAAAGGCGGCAATCTGTACATTTGGACAAAAAATTTTTATTGATATGTCAATACAGATTTATTTGAATATAATCGTCTCCTTCAAAGAATACGGTTCAAAACCTGCATTAAATAAAGGTTAATAGTTAACCTGTTATTTATCTAAGATGTCGTTCCGAAGAGTTTTGTGACTGCCAANACAAAACAGTGACACGAATTCGTGCGGCAAGGCATTTCCTTCCACAATTGTCTTTCAATATTTTTTTATTGCTTAGATGAGTGGACGAGCTCACAGCCCTTCTGGTGTTAAGCTCTGGTGGAGCCCATAGACATCCACAACGTAAATGCGCCACTCACCTTGAGATATAAGTTATAAGATCTCAAGTATAGTTACACAATTCCACAATCGTTTCATATCGCAGGAATGCGTACGCGAAATCAATTCGCAATTTCTTGCGATGCGTCGTGGGAGCTCGTAGATTTATACGATGCGTCGTGGGAGCTCGTAGATTTTTACGATGCGTCGTGGGAGCTCGTATATTTATACGATGCGTCGTGGGAGCTCGTAGATTTGTACGATGCGTCGTGGGAGCTCGTAGATTTGTACGATGCGTCGTGGGAGCTCGTAGATTTTTACGATGCGTCGTGGGAGTTCGTAGATTTTTACGATGCGTCGTGGGAGCTCGTAGTTTACGATGCGACGTCGCATCGCAGCTATGTGTACAAGCCCTAACTCTAGCCCTAGCCAGAGCGCTGCTTGGCAGAATCTACCACCCGCTGAGATGATCCGGCGAGAAACTCAGTGGGCTGTGTCTGTGGGTTTGTCCGTGACCACTATAAATGAGTCGTCTATTATCAAAGGCGGCAATCTGTACATTTGGACAAAAAATTTTTATTGATATGTCAATACAGATTTATTTGAATATAATCGTCTCCTTCAAAGAATACGGTTCAAAACCTGCATTAAATAAAGGTTAATAGTTAACCTGTTATTTATCTAAGATGTCGTTCCGAAGAGTTTTGTGACTGCCAATGGAATACAAAGTCAATAATTCGTTTTTCTGATTTACCAATCATTGTCCAAAAGTCAGATTGCCGCCTTTGATAATAGTCGACTCAAATGTGAAGTATTTTCTAGACGTCGGAAATAATGTAGTGATGACAATAGAGAAACGCGTGATTAAACCGTAAAAGAAGTTTGAATTTTTTTCTTTGTTTCGGCAACAATTTGAATACTTGCGCATTTCCACGTAATAAATTTTATTAGCCGTTGTGTTGTTTAAAAAAGAATAGTGAGAGCCTAATAATAAATGAAAATACGTGTTATACGTTAATCGAATTGATACTAACGCGATACTGGTTACGGTAATAGCTGATATTTTTCGCAGAGCGGAAGACAGCCAGATAAATAGGCTCAGGGATGAGCACTTGTGAGTCCTTCTTTTTTTTTTTCGTTGTTTTTGTTTTTTGATTAGTAAAAAATATCGTATTTCATTTTTTGTGATAACTTTTTTCGTACTACCTACCTTAATAGGCGTGTATTTTTTTCTTTTCTAACTTTACTAACCTCTATAATTGAGGTCGTAAGTACAAAAGTGGCCTAAGCTTACAATAGTTAGTATGGGAATAATGAGGTTCGACTTTACCTTTCCAATACTTTGGAAGCAAAAAAATACGCGCCAAAATGATATTTAAAAAGTCATCTGTTGTCTATGTATTGAAACTAGGGATGACCCGATTTTGCATCAAATTTATTATGTTTTAAATAAATTACAATACATAAGCTTGAATAGGAATTGTGGGTTAGGCCACTTTTGCGCTAACGGCCTCAATTGTGTATTATATATGTCATTGTCGTCATCAGCCTATAGTAATGCACTGTTGGACAATAGGTCTGTTCAATTTCCACTGAACGCGATTGTGGTTTGTTATTTTCTCTCCGTATTGGCGGGAAATTTTCATTCAGAACATATAAAAGTTGTTTTAGGTGTCTGTTTACGATAAAAACAAACACAAAATAAATTTTAATAAATTTGAATTAAAAATAGTGTAAGAAAAAATGATTTTATTGTAAAAAAAGCGTGGGGTGCTTTTCAGGATATTATCAAAATAACCCTTCTACTCATAATATCTGTTTATAAAATATTTATAACTACTGATACCATGCACACCACGCTTTTTTTTACAATAAAATCATTTTTTCTTACACTATTTTTAATTCAAATAGATTAAATTTTTTTTTCTATTTTTTAGTTGGACTTTCTATAAAAGCATATTTCTTAACTATTCTTTATTTTTCATTTTTTAGTTGAATTTCAATTTTTTCAATTTTTTTAAATCTTTTGTTTTTAAATATTGAATTGTCATCGGTCCTTCATAAGTATACGAAATTTCGAGTTAATCCGACGTTTTGAAGTGGGTCAAAAAATCATGTTCAAAGATTCCGTTGCATACATACGTCTGAAGCTAATAAAAGCGTATTAAAAAAGGAGGAAATGGCGCTGAGCACTATAGACTATACAAATTATACTAAAATTTCGATTTTATGTTGAATTTAAATCGGCGCGCCAATATTGTTGGTGTGACGCCAGATAACACCTGTGCCTTCGGGAATTCCGATCGCGCCCGATTACACCCGAATGCGACCCGATATGACAGTGTTCCACGCTATTTTATTTATTTTTTTCGTACCTAAGCTGATGGTCTTGAGAGACCATTTTAGCCTACCCTTAACAAGTATGTGAGCTCACGGGGCTCAAACCTGACGACGTTGCTAACACTGACCCTAGCAAGAGCAGTGCTTCGCAGAATCTACCACCGGATCCGAAACGCGACCCACTGAGAAGATTCGGCGAGAAACTCAGTGGGCAGTGTCTAATGGGTTGTTTTACTCGCCGAGCACTTCGTCGCAAGCGACGGGTTCGACGAGAACGATGACCGGTGCTTGAGGTACCTAAAAGCACCGTTAGTGGATCGGGAGGATCCGTAATGACGTGTTTTGGGCGACGTCAACTATTTTCCATTCGGTCCGCAGGATCGGGGGTCCGTCCTCTGTTTCCCTAATCCAGCTTTTGCCAGCTACCCTTCATAGAACGTCACTCATCCGAGCCTGAGGATGTCTTACGCTACGTTTGCCCGTGGTCTTCATTCAAGAACGCGTTTATCCCACCCGTTAGGGGTTCTCCAGCTAATACGGCCAGCCCATTGCCACTTCAGCTTACGAATCTGTAGCAGTGGATTACTATAGGCTGATTATGACTTTTTGGCGGGAACGCGAAGAGTGAAGTTGTGTGATTTGTTTTATTTTGTCTATTTAGTGTTTCTTCAGGCTTAAATGTGTAATAACGGCGGTTTATTAACTGTTTAGTATCTGTGAAAGTGCAATATGGAAAATTAAACAAAGCCGCTGGACGTAGCTTCTCGGGATCCTCCAAAAAGTTCACTGAACAAATCTCAGTAAATGACCACCATTTTTCTGAGATTATATTTCATCCCATATCATCTCATTTCATTCCATATTATCATTTCTCATAAAAATAATAATTTAAATTAAAATAAGACATGACCTAAAGGTCGTAGTTACCAGGTCATAAAATCCCTTTAAAAAAAACAGGCTGATGATGACGGTGATGATATACATATTTTATGTGTAGTATTTAAGGTACTAATCAATCGTATCATCATACAGCCTTACCGTAATTTCTAAAGTTGAATTAATATATAACCGATATGTAATTGTAGTGTTTGAAATGTTAACTCCATTAAAACAGTTGCATGGTCTCCCAGAAATCATAACAGAAAAAGTATTCCGCGCATTGCCTAAAATAGCTTTTACACAGAATTATCGTAAAGTTTTTTTTTTTTTGAAAACGCTCCTTCCATTGTAGCAGCTTCTTTTTAAGATTTTTGTGTTGAAGTTTACTCTTTCCCACCCTGAAAGGCGATGCAATATGTACTTAACTATCACGACCAACTTCCACGGTGAAGGAATAACATCGTGTAATAAAAATCAAACCCGCAAAATTATAATTTGCGTAATTACTGGTGGTAAGACCAGGTGTTGTGAGTCCGCGCGGGTAGGTACCACCGCCCTGCCTATTTCTGCCGTGAAGCAGTAATTCGCTACGGTTTGAAGGGGATGGCAGCCATTGTACTGTTACAACTGGACTGTAAAAATATTGTCTCAAGGTGAGTGGCGACATTTACGATGCATTTAACGGCCGTCTGGTGTAGTGGTAAGTGACATCTAGTCACTACACAGGGGGGTTGCGGGTTCGAATCCCGCCAAGGGAAGATATTTGTATGATAAATATAAAATGTATTTTCCGGGGTTATAGATGTATAGTATGTTTGTTGACGCTTGAAAGACAAATGTGACTAAGCGACAATAACTGCTTTGTACATAAATCATAGGCAATAACCATATTCGATGCGTAAAAAATATATATTTCTAGGTCTATTAAAATCATTTCAATCCTACAGCTAGATTAAAATAGAATTTTTTATAGGTATTTCTCAGGTATATTTTCAATTAATTTCAACTTTAAATTAGTCTACTGTAAAGTTCACGCATTGTCGCTTAGTCAGTCACATTTGCCTTTGAAGCGTCGATGTGTATAATAAAATTCTTACATTTATTTCCGTTATCTGGTACCTGTAATGCAAGTTCTTTACGAACTTACCCCGGGACCAGTTAACGTGGCGNTTATATGAGTCGACTATTATCAAAGCCGGCAATCTGACTTTTGGACAATGATTGGTAAATCAGAAAAACGAATTATTGACTTTGTATTCCATTGGCAGTCACAAAACTCTTCTGAACGACATCTTAGATAAATAACAGGTTAACTATTAACCTTTATTTAATGCAGGTTTTGAACCGTATTCTTTGAAGGAGACGATTATATTCAAATCAATCTGTATTGACATATCAATAAATTTTTTTTGTCCAAATGCACAGATTGCCACCTTTGATAATAGACGACTCAAACATAGCCCGGCTAGGGCGGTGAGCATGTTGCGCAAACGCAACGCCATTATCGATAAAAACAAATGAGTCATCGAAGGCAGGTAGGTACACGGCGGCGCGGCGGCGGGGCGGTATACGAAGTAGTGGTGGTGAGACATTATGTTATGAGTCAAAGTACAAAAATTAGACTTTTTTGCAACATAATACTTTATCATCGACGATAAACGGTCTCATTGCGTTGACTGTACAATCAACATTCGTCGGCAACCCGCATTTCGACAGATGGAGACTTTCAATCAAGTTTATGTAGACTGTGGACCACTGCGTCACTCATTACAGTGAATGGTGGTTTAACAAAAATCCTAATGTTAAGTGGTTACCGTTATAATCCATAGACATCTTAACATTTCGACAATGGGGGTTTTTATAGTTTTTGATTGCAACAAACGATAGCGCGTTTTACATTTTAAATCTAGCGACATCTATTGACTAACCGGGCTATGGTTTATGACCCAAACTGCACGGACAAAATAATTCTACTTTCGTGTGTGACACATGAACAACCCAACAGCCGTAAGCGCTCGTGGTCGTTGGAAGAGTGCTCCATCTGCTTCGAGATCATGCTGAAGGATCAGGAGCTGATGGCCCTACCGTGCACCCACAATTTCCACTCGCAGTGCATCATGCCCTGGCTTCAGGAGAAACAGACGTGCCCCAATTGCCGGAAGGACGCCTGATCGAAGGTAAGCCGCTTTTGGATTTGAAAGATATACATGTGTGAACGAGAATCTGGGACAATGCTGTTTTATAAATGACTAGCTGTATCCGTCCGCTTCGCTGGGCATTTAAAATTACCATTGTTATTTCTCACCCCCACAAAGATTCTCATCATTAACACCTCCGCAACTGGTGTAGGGAGTCCAACGCTCATATAAATATTAGCCTATCCATTAAGTACATGTATTTTCTACACTGATACCAAGTTTCAAGTCAACCGGATGCATGGTTCAGCAGTTATAACGGAACATCCGTAAAAACCATTGTAGATTTATATATTAGTATAGATGACGTCATAATTTCCTTCATTATTATGATTGTCTTCCATAGTGAGTGTAATACAAACTTACTTTTACTAAAAGCTCCTTTTATTGTATTTAAGTATACTACAGTAACAATGAAGAGGTCCACCCCATTCAGTTGCTCATGATGGAATGTATAGCGCGTTTTTTTCCTACCTACGCTGATGGTCTTTAGGTGAGCTTACGGGGCTCAAACCTGACGACGTTGCTAACACGAACCCTAGCAAGAGCAGCGCTTCAATGAATCTACCACAATAACGAAATAACGACATTAATTGTCGATACATACCCTTTGAGGGCTTTGAGCGCGGCGACCGAATCAAGAAATTCCGTAACGAAAATAAAACGTAACACCCCCCACGTCGCCTATCATGTAGCTCGCGTTCAACACATTCACACGTTGCGCTTGTGTAGTGTTTGTGAATAAGCGCACGGCGTAACGTCGTGGCGTAACGTAAGTGGTTACTGGAGCCCATAGACATCTACAACCGCGCCACCCACTTTGAGATATAAGTTCTAAGGTCACATTATAGTTACAACGGCTGCCCCGCCCTTCAAACCGAAACGCATTACTACTTCACGGCAAAAATAGGCAGGGCGATGGTACCCACCCGCGCGGACTCACAAGAGGTCCTACCACCAGTATATTACCTAAAGTAATTAAAGTAATCTTTATACCTATATTATTTTCATTTACAGGTGATAAAGGAAGTAAAAAGCGCTGACTGGATCATTGTTTTTTTTTGTTATTAATAACGTAAAATAAAATGATAGAATTTTTTTTTTGTAATTTTTATTATAACTTTTTTTTATAAGACGAATTAATTTGTAAAATATAAAAAAAACGGTGTAAAAGAGAACTTATCAGCTGCTTCGCTTGCTAGAACGATTTGTATCATGAGTCATATTTGCAGTAGAAGTTAAACACGAAAAGAACAATCTACCTCAGATCTCAAGGTCTAAATTTGCGTGCGACATCAGCTAAGTACCTAGAATAGATTTTGGTCTGATTATCTACAGTAATAAGAAAGAAAACTGCTTAAAATATTTACCCAGATATCGAATGGTGAAAGGTTGTTTGGTCTAAGCGACAATTCGCTTAACACGCGACATTTATCTTTGTAATTAAAGGCTTCGTTAAACAGAACGCGTACTTAGCGCGCGTCAGAACGCTAAACTAACGCCGCGCTAAGACGCCGAGATGTGTTGTACTACTGCTATAAGCGCTATAGCGCTGGCGCTCTGTTTGACGGTATCTTACCATAGTAGTACAACACATCTCGGCGTCATAGCGCGGCGTTAGTTTAGCGCTCTGACGCGCGCTAATTACGCGTTCTGTTTGACGAAGCCTTAAAGGTCCGTTTGTATTTGATATTAGCTCGATGTTTTTAATTGAATCTCAATTGAGTTTACTCCATTCCAAAAAAGCTAAAGAAGTTTTTTTTTTGTTATGATTTGTTTTTCCAAATTTTAAACCTTTAGCTCTCCTGTAAAGTAGCAAAAATGTCGTAAAATCATACCCTCACTATTAGACATTCGTGGTCTTAAAAGATTTGTCTCCATGGACTCTTATCTCGGGATCGTTGTGGGATTTCTGTTGGCGTCTCCACAATACTTCTAAAGCAGCGGTCGGGGAACTTTTTTAATTATTACCCCAAAATATTTTTGTGTAACTTGATATTACCCCATGGCGAAGAACAAACAAAAAAAACGTAATCGCTTCTTTTTAGCATCTTTCATATTATAAGCCCCCATGATAATTTTGAAAAGAAAACAATAACTAAAAATTAAATTTAAACATCATTTATTCAATTTATCAAGGTAATGCCAATACCTAGTAATACATAACGGTAATAATAGTAATATATGTAATATATAGTTGAGGGAAAAAAATCGCCACCACAGAAAAAAAAAAAGAGCCGTCACGGGACGCCTGGCAGATGTGAAACATCGACATTATTTTCTAAAAGTAATATGCAGCAGAAAAGAACAGATTGTGTTAGGAACTAAATATGTCATAATGATAAAATGAAATATTACGAAAAAATTATTTGTTTTCAAGTAAAACACAGGTTATGTGTACTGTAGTAAATAACACTATACACTACGGAGTATACACTATAAGTATCCGAGCTCAGTGTAGCGAGAGAGATGGCTTAACGCCGGATCGAGTGGGAGAGAATCGCACAGTCGATTGCGCATGGCGATGCGTCGCCACACCGTACACACTACTGCATATAGATTGTATATATATACCATCATATGCGTCGCCACGCCAGAAATCGGTTTTACGTGCGGCTATAGATGTTTCACATCAATATAAGTAAATGATAATTTCTTGTTATTTTATAATTCATATGATATTTTTCTTGTATTATTAGACGAAAAAATTTCGTTTTGTTTCATTTCGTTTCATCGAGTTTGAAATCACAACGATCCTAAAGAAGTTTCACTTCAATATATACTTTTTACGCACAAAAGATGAAACTTTTACCCCCCAAAATGTCAGTTCACCCCATTCGGGGTAATTTACCCCGGCTCCCCGACCGCTGTTCTAAAGCATCGTGGTGGAATTCAGCCTCAGAATCACTTCCCATTTATCGGTTCCAAAATCCACTGCTTCTCCAATATGAGCGTGTTTGATCGCGTTATATGTGTCCAAAGAGAATTGGTTGACCTTTTCGCCCTCTGAGAAGCAAATCGTAGTTTTGATGCAAGAGCCCTTGTAGAATCTATCTCTTTATGGCAGCTTCCATGGTGCCCTCAGATTCCCCTCCTAACAGAGCCTTTGCTCGCCCATCTGTTCTGGTGAAACTAGAAAGCCAAGCAATAATCCTTCAATCGTAAAAAAAAAGTTAGTCTCTAAAAGTTAGTCTTTAGCGGTAGCAGCGGCTTGGCTCTGCCCATGGCATTGCTGAAGTCCATGGGCGACGGTAACCACTCACCATCAGGTGGGCCGTGCGCTCGTCTGCCTACAAGGGCAAAAATAAAATTAAAAAAAAACTGCACCAAATTTCAGAAGCCCGTATTTCGTTCATATCTCGACTTTTGAGGCTCCTTGTTTCGATGACTTCCTACAAACATTTGTCTGTTATGTTTGATAGACAAAATAACACTAGATACGTTCAACAAAATATCTCTACTGTTTTGCGAAACATTGTTATATGAAACTATAGACGTCAATACAATAATAATTGTAAATAGACATGCTTTAACAAAAACCGACTTCAAATAGAAAAAAAAAGATATTCCAAAACAAATTAATATACATTAAAAACAATAATAATCGAAATCGGTTGGCGTGATATTGAGTTATTCATCTATTTGTCGCGCACGTATTTAATGCAAATTTAAGACTTCTCTGGTTTTCTCATGGATACCATTATCAGATCTGGACTAAATTGAAATGGGATCACACGGGAAACGTCACCCAGTCAAAGTTATGAGGTAACAAACATAAAAAAAACATAGTCGAATTGAGAACCTCCTCCTTTTTTGAAGTCTGTTAAAAAGGCAGATTTTTCAATGAATGAAACATCTCAACTACGCCTGTATGTGATTTTTACGTATTATACATGAAAAAAATGAACAGTAAAATTTCGGTTATTCCCATTTATTGTGTGTTCATAGTGCATAGTGTAATTTTGTAAATATTTTTAAACAAAAATCTCATCATCGTGTTGTAGAAAGACCGTGCAATGAGAGGGTTTTGGGGAAATCTTCTTTTCGTGTTAGAATGGAAGCGTGTTGTAAAATGCCGTGCTATAGAAGTTGTTAACTGTAATAAGAAATATCCGAATCGCACAGCAAAAGCCAGCCAGTAAAAAAGAAAAAAAAGTGTAAAATGAGAATGAAATACGGCATATATACATTATTTATAAAAAATATATGGAAAAAGTATATGTAATCGTTCCAATAGATCTGTAAAATAGTATCTAGTCATTTGTCTCGATTCTTCTTTAGAACAAATGCAATTGTTTTTTTTTGCAAACACCTAGGTTACATATTTTTAATTAAGACCTCATTCAGTAATTGAATTTCAGTCCGTTGTTCGTCGCACTATTGGGAATTTAAAGATTATAATTATTTGTAACAATAAAAATTGAATTATTTTGATAATGTTTCATTTTATGCAATAAGGAAAATAAAATGTGTCACGCATTAAGCTAAAAGTTTTTAATAAATTGAGGAAGATATTCGTTTGCCTAAGAGCGGAGTTCCCGCCAAATTTGCTGTCAGTCAAATAGAAATTTCTTCGTTGGGAACTAAAATACTAGTTTGATTTAAATAATATTTCAAAAATTATCTACATCTTTTAAAGAATTCTTTGTCGTTGTACGTTAATAAAAAGGTACTTGTACAGCAAATTTGTGGATTAACTTTTTTTGTCTAATTGATTAATTGTCTCCATATCAAAGTAAAATGTTGATTCGCATCGATAATTAAATTAAAGTTGATGTTATAATATCGTTAAGACTATATTTATATATACGAAATAAATTATTAGAAGCTATAATTGAAAACGTTTGCTATTGCTCAATTAAAATAAAGATTTAATTAAAATATTTCGACTCTTATTTTAGAAATAAATACGCCTTTGAGACAGACCGCTACACACAACGATTACATACTAAAAGCTTAAGTTTCCACGTTGACGTGCTAGAGATGTAAGCTTAAAACTGCTTTAGCTCTGCCTTAAATAAAGCTCTGATTTGAAAGTTTTGTTCAATATAATAACGCGTTTAGGGTGCTGGTGGTGCTGCCCCGCTTTTGTAGCGCATCAGGGATGTTTGCAGACGCGCACATAGATTGTTTTTACGCTACCATGCGTAAGAGGTGTGCATCTCTGGTAAGCAGAGTGAGGGGCCAGCTCCAACAGTATCCTGAGCATGATCGCAAGCAGGCTGGACTGTGTATACATGGGTCGCTGTGGTGCCATCTCCCATGGGATGTTACGACAGTAATTCATTGTGATGTAAATATAACTACTAACATAGGTCTAAGTCTTATTAACAATCTATATGAGTCATGGTTACTTGGAATAAAAACATTATTATTATTATTATTATTATACTACTTGCCAAATAAAAAAAATGGGCTTTTTCTTATTTTAGGATTGACCTTTAAGCTAAATGATATTTTCTGATACTCTGACTGATATAATAATTACGGAATTATATTCAACCAAGAATTATTTTAGAAGAGATTCTTTTTTGTTATTGTTGTACGCTTGAAATTCAATAAATGGAATTCATTAGAAGAGTGAGGTTTTTTTTTATTGCTTAGATGGGTAGACGAGCTCACAGCCCACCTGGTGTTAAGTGGTTAACGGATCCCATAGACGTCTACAACGTAGACGCGCCACCCACCTTGAGATACAAGTTCTAAAGGCTCAGTATAGTTACAACGGCTGCCCCGCCCTTCAAACCGAAACGCATTACTGCTTCACGGCAGAAATAGGCGGGGCGGTGGTACCTACTCGCGCGGACCCACAACTGATCCTATCAACAGTAACAAATCTTATTTATTATCACTGTGGAAGGCAATTACAACAAATAAAACTAAAATGAAGAAAACAATCAATCCTTTATTTTAACAAAATTAATAACTCCTCAACTTAACCTATAATCTGTCTATGTCTATCTACATTATTTAAACTAAAATATATTGATGTTGTGCTCCAATCGTATGTGATCCGACCAAGATTCTAGATTCTGAAAATCCTGCAAATAAAACTAATGCTCAAAAATAAGTCAATGACACGTCAGAAATACAATATGGAAATTTTCAGCGAGAATTTTACAATTTTGAAAACGTTTTTTTGATTAATAGGATCAGAGTCCATAGACATTTACAACGTAAATCCGCCACCTACATTGGGATATGAGTGCTAATGTCTTAGTATAATTACAACGGCTGCCCCGCCCTTCAAACCGAAACGCATTACTGCTTTACGGCAGAAATAAGCAGGGTGGTGGTACCTACCCGTGCGGACTCACAAGAGGTCCTACCACCAGTAATTACGCAAGTTATAATTTTGCGGGTTTGATTTTTATTACATAATGTTATTCCTTCACAGCGCAAGTCAATCGTGAACATTTGTTAAGTACGTATTTCATTAGAAAAATTGGTATCCGCCTGCGGGATTCGAACACCGGTGCATCGCTACACACGAATGCACCGGACGTCTTATCCTTTAGGCCACGACGACGCACACTGTATTATTATCGAGATCTAGCAGAACTTAATTCAATCTTGCGTGAATTTATCTTTTTTTAATTTTACGTGTCATAAAATGTTAATATTAGATGTTATTTCGTATTTCTAAATAAATAAATAACATTAATCATTAATAAAAATCATTTAATCTTTATTTTCTTTAAAAATATTATTTTTAATACTGCAACTTTGTTCTAAATACACAAGAAATATATTTTACACCCCTAAATATATTCAAAAGACTAAAAAAAATTCGCATAACCTTCTACCCATCTTCCTCCGTCGAGTAAGTTTCTTCTCCCATGTTCTATTTTGCACTGTTGATTTGGAAGATAGAAGTGGATCTGAACCTATCAGAAATCGGTTAAGTACGTCTCGATTGGTGTTAATTCTGCTTGTTTTCCTGCTGAAATACTCGCGATTCCTCCTATATTCCTTATTGTTCGCTTCTTGAGCTTCTTCTGCTAATTGGTCCAAAGGTAAAACGCATGTTTCAATTACTTCTATTGAGTGTGAGAGGATTTTGTGTATACCTACTAGAAGGCATGTAGTACCAGGAACAATGTACTAAATAAAGTTTTCTTGTCTCTTCGGCATATGTCTTGTGCCTCCAAGATAACAGAAATGTTTGACTAAATCCAGATTGATCCCTGTTATTTTCGCTTACATTTCTCCCATTTAGATTGTATTTTTGCTGTAAGACTACTTATTAACATTTGAAGTGATCGTGGAGGGTTTCTACAGTCCTCTATGTCATAATATTGTAGTATTTTTTCAATTATAAGGTTATTTTGACCTTTTTTTTATTACTTGGAAACCATATATTAAAAATATCTCGCCTTTTCATTGCGCTGAAAACAAAAAAAAATGTATGAGCGGGGCAAATAGGAGCAAGGGATTCCAACTAAATTTCAAAGAACATTAACCGTAGAATGCTATAACAGTGATTTCCCGGTGTATACACTTGCATACATTTTTAAAAGTCAACACTAATACAAAAAGAAATTTTTTTTCAAGGACTACAGCAAAAACGTTATTAATTAATAACATTTCAATATTATAAGGTTCAAACTTACCTTAACGTATCCTCGATGATATAACAAACGATAAAAATGACCAATTATAGCACTTTAAACGACAAGAACAGACCTGTTCGCATTCTGCAATAAAGCAAAACTAAACAATACACTCGTGCAAGTACGCATAACCTATGTTTCGAGACTTCCCTTGTGTTGTATGGTGTTACACACTTATTTTTTTTTTTCAATATCGGTTATTTAGTTATACACCTGTGTAATAAAGGGAGTTTTAAGAATATTTAGAGGAGTATTATTTTTAATTAAGTTCTGCTAGATCTCGATAATAATACAGTGTGCGACGCAGTAATGCGTTTTGAATTAAAAGGCATAATAACTAATGTCTCAAGTCGGATAGCGGCATTAACTTTGTCCGGGTAAGGCTCCGGCAACCACTTAACACATGATGAGTCTCGACAGCTAAGTACCCTTCTACTTTAACGCGAAATGAGATGAAGCCAATATATTTGAAACCGAAATCAATTGGGTTGGTTAGTGGAAGATCCGGCGAGAAACTCGGTGGGCTGTGTCTGTGGGTTAATTCGCTCGTCGAGCCCTTCGTCGCAAGCGACGGGTTCGACGAGGACGGTGACCGGTGCTTGAGGTACCTAAAAGCACCTTTAATGGATCGGGAGCATCCGTAATGACGTGTTCAGGGCGACGGCGACTGTTTACCATTCGGTCTACAGGATCGGGTATGTACACGAACCCTAGCAAGAGCCGTGCTTCGCAGAATTTACCACCGGATCGCTAACTGATGAGAAGATCCGGCGAGAAACTCAGCGAGCTGTGAATTAAATTTCACACTCACATCGTCGCAATATTGACACGAGTACATCTCGAGGCCGTGCGTCGCGATGTGGCCCCTGAACTTGTCGATCGCGTAGAAGGCCATCCCGCAAGCGTCGCATATCAACGCTTCGGTTTCGGCCATCTCGTCGGCCTCGTTTTCGGCCTTCGGCTCCATTTCGTGCATCGACGATTCGGCCGAGGAGCAGTCCGGCTTCGGCTTCTTTGGCTCTCGGGGCTCAAAATACGGACAGGCTATGGTGGGACGGAATAAACGGAGGCTGGGAGACGATGGGTCGCACTAATTGGCCATTTAGAACCAGGAGAACTATCTAGAACAGTGGTGCGCAACTTTTTTCGACTAGGATCCCTTCAGTGGAAAAAAAAATTTGGAGATCCCCTAGTTAGTCCGAAATTTGAAAAAATAACGACCCCCAACAAACTTATAACGACCCCCAAAGGGGACGCGACCATTAGTTTGCGCACCACTGATCTAAAATATCTTCTAAGTATTACTCGCAAAATTTAAAGCATATTACTTTAGTAGTTTTTATTCTCCATATTCTAGTAGTACGGGTCAGAGACCGTTGGTTTGCAACCAGTAGCGATTTCGGCACTTTTAGCGTTTTCTTAATCAGAAAAGTTAAAAGTAGCCTATTTGAGATGCTGCAAATTCCTGCGACGGCACATCGAACCAACTTTGGAATCAATCCTGGAAGAACTAGGCGTTTCCATAAGACTTTCCACCACTTGCCTACGTACGATTTTCGAGGTGGTCACGTAACGAGGAAGAAGGACGACGGTCTCGAAAAACTACTCAGCACCCGCAGGAGTGGAAGGAAAGAGGCCAAGGTGGCGTAGCCCCATGCACCTATTCTATGCATTACGATATTCTACGCACTATCTAGAATTAAGGAGCACCATTTCGTTGTATCCGAGTCGAGATATTTTAGAGAAAAACAATAAGCACAAAATTATTCTATTGGATATCGCACGTCTAAAACTTTTTTTACTGCGGTCACCCTGATGGTCAATGCTCATCGTCGCTCATGGACATTATCAATGTGACTGACTTCTAAAATCTCAAGACGTCTGATCAACTTGACCATCTGCAGACGCATCATGATCCAATGACGTTTCCAATAATACTGGCCTTCGTTTCATCCTAAAATGTCTTGACCTAAATCACTATGGCGAGACATAGGCAGATAAGGGTCAGGCAAAAGTTTAGATGGGTGGACGAGCTCACAGCCCATCTGGTGTTAAGTGGTTACTGGAGCCCATAGACATCTACAACGTAAATGCGCCACCTTTAGATATAAGTTTTAAGATCTCAGTTTAGTTACAACGGCTGCCCCACCCTTCAAACCGAAACGCATTACTGCTTCACGGCAGAAATAGGCGGGGCGGTGGTACCTACCCGCGCGGACTCAACAGGTCCTACCACCGATAATTACGCAAATTATTAATTTTTTTTACACGATGTTATTCCTTCATGGAAGTCAATTGTGAACATAAAACTGTCTCAACTAACGGCCGTGACCCACGTGGGTCTTGTAAAACGTGACCAGCACCCGGTCCGTCGTCTCCGTGACGATCATGTGGGCCGGACACGCCTTCCCGGTCTTGTATATCTGGCGCTCTGGGGCCGGCCTCTTGCCCTTACCCTGAACACGTGATTTACTCTTTTTTTATTTAATTTTTTTTTGCTTAAATGGGTGGACGAGCTCACATCCCACCTGGTTGTTAAGTTGTTACTGGAACCCATAAACATCTACAACGTAAATGCGCCATCCACCTTGAGATATAAGTTCTAAGGTCTCAGTCTAGTTACAACGGCGGCCCCACCCTTTAAACCGAAACGCATTACTGTTTCACGGCGGAAATAGGCGGGGTGGTGGTACCTGGCCGTGCGGACTCACAAGAGGTCCTACCACCAGTAATTACTCGCAGTTTTAAACGTCTACTATTAATACTAGCTGTCTTATTCGACTGCTGTTTGCTTAAATGAATGGACGAGCTCATCCCCAATCCGGCGCCAGCATCAACAACGTAAATTGTGCGGTAAGACAAGAGCTCTAAGTCTCAGTTTGTACAGCCCAACGGCTGCCACGCCCTTCAAGCCAAAAGGCATTATTGCTTCACGGCAGAAATAAGGAAGGCGCTGGAATCTACCCGCAAAGGCTCACAAGACGCCCTACCACCAGTAAAGTGCTGGTTGTGTGGTACAATGTTACTGTAGTTTCACAACAGATGTTTTGTTTTCGGGGTTAAAACTTAGCCTATACCACTCTCCTGGCCTAATACTATTACTTCAAACACAAACAAACAAACACACTTTCTCATTTATAATATTAGTATGGATGTCGCTGAATGATGAATTTGACCATCATCTACCGGCACAGGTGGACGTATAGTAAGTAGTCGCGTAATGAGACTCTGTTTCAATCCCAAAAGCAACTATTGATTGCTATCAATTGCTATTAGTATAAAGAAATTAATACAGTTTATGCCGCGCGAAAATATGTGGCAGTCACGAAACGTCTTCACTCTTCCCGAGTCAAGCGACGAATGCCTCTATTCATCTTTAACGATGGCACCTCGACACTGGCGCCACCCGAAGTGAGCCGAAGTTTGAAGAGTAGTTGGAACTGCACGGCCACTAGATGGCGCGCTTTCGCTTCGTTCACAGCGTCCAGATGCCACTTACATATATACCATACATGACCAACACAAATGTCGACACTTAACTTAAGACATGAGTTCAAATTCTGACCCTAAGCCGGGACGCCCTGTATCATGGCATAGATATTACACAGACAAAGAGTAAACTAAGCCTGTTCGTCACAGTAAAGTCAGCCCGATGTGAGACCACGATCCAAATCGAAGCCACGTCCTTCCTTATGCACCGAAACTAGCGAAATAATGCATATCCTCACTTTTTTTTCCTACCTATGCTGATTGCCTTGAGAGGCTATTTCAGCGTAACCTTAACTAGTAGGTGAGCTCACGGGGCTCAAACCTGACGACGTTGCTAACACGAACCTTAGCAAGAGGCGTGCTTCGCAGAATCTACCACCGGATCGGAAACGCGACCCATTAAGAAGATCCGGCGAGAAACTCATTGGGTTGTGTCTGTGGGTTAATTTACTCGATGACCGGTGCTTGAGGTACCTAAAAGCACCGTTAGTGGATCGGGAGGATATGCTCACGCTACGTTTTCCAAACTATCAAAATACCTGGTAAACATAAACTCCAGACTGACTGCACATGTAGTGCGACCTGATCCCCTCAATCGTCTGTTTGCTGGCGGTCGTCTTCCTGAACCTATATTTGGTTTCCTCCTGTATTGCGCTTTTGTAGATCATAAAGTCTGAAATATCAATCTTGGCGCTTAAGGACGGATTTGGACAGATGCCTAGTTTCTTCATTAGTTTCTAACGTAGATTGGGAATTCTAATAAATCTTGTGCTATCAGAATGCCCGTGCACTTGTGATGTCCATAAATCACAATGGCAATGGCCCGGTCCACTTTCAATACCAGTTGAGTACAACGGCTGCCCCAAATTTCAAACTCCGGTTTTACTGGTTCACAATAGTAATAGGCAGGGCGGTAGGTCCTATCTGTGCGAGTTCAAAAGACGTTCCTTATTCCTCCCCCCTTAATCGACGGAACCGTAGCTGTGATGCTGTATTTTATTGGCTTTTAGGCAGACGAGCTTGCGACCCTGTATAATATTACTTATATTATCGCTATATCACTATGGACATCAGCAATGGCACAACCGTTGTCTAAGGCTGACCACTCTCCGCAACTCTCGTTTGAAGGACATGTCACAGCGCTCGAGGAATATTTGCAATTATTTTCAAATGAGCAACGTATTTGAGAAACCTTCAAAATCTTTTTTTTTATTGCCCTTGTAGGCAGACGAGCATACGGCCCACCTGATGGTGAGTGGTTACCGTCGCCCATGGACTTCAGCAATGCCAGGGGCAGAGCCAAGCCGCTGCCTACCGCAAATACCGGACTACGCCTGTTCGAAACTCCTTATGGCAAATAAAAGGCAAACTGTTCGCGTTCCCGCCAAAAATTTGACAACTTTTTTTGTAAATATTCTATAGTCTAGCAATCCAGTTCAGTATAGATAACTCACCGTCCATATCGTGGAACTCTAGTTGCTCAACGTGTTCGTGTACTCTGTGCACGTGCAATAAATGGGCACTGAAATTCGACCCGTAGCTCACTCTCTCGTCGCACAGCGGGCAAATGAAGGCTTTACGTTTTTCTACCTATAGAACTATACAGCGTGTATATTATGTAGGGTGATAATGTTAAAAGACGCACTACCTTTGTGCTTAGTGCGAGTTTTTTAACGTTCTCGATAGCGTAAAAGTTAACTCAAAATTGTATGTAGGTGGGACTCGGTGGGAGGGCGTGTTAGGAACCCGCACGGGTGGGTACCACCGCCCTGCCTAATTCTGCCGCGAAGCATTAATGCGTTTTAAATGATAACAACTGTAACGGTCTTAGTTTAGTTTAGCGCCCCTAGCGGCAAACGAAAGGAATATGTTTCAACTCCATACACATTTGAGTTAACTTTTACGCTATCGAGACCGTTAAAAAACTCGCACTAAGAACACTCAGGTTAAGGTGACGACGCAAAATAACAAAACGAAAATATCACAAAAACGAGCTTAAACCGTAAAAATGGCTTTATTTACGTCAGTGAGTCGCAAAAGCTCCAAGATTTGTTCTTGGTTACATGTAATCAGGCTAGAGGTGCCATAGGCATTTTAGGTGTCACAGTCACAAGTGATTCCTCCACCTTTGCTACGTGAGATGAGGACCCACAATAAACCCAGCCAATTATACTGATCTAATTATATTAAGGCTTCAAACCTATATTATGAAATAAAAACATCACTCATTTGTTTTGTCTGGAGGAAATCGTCTTTTATCTGTGCATTGTGGACATTATATTGTCAAAAATAGAATTACCTTTTCTCAATCATTGTAGAGAAGTCCACAAAATTTGCTCGTAATGGTAAACTATTGTAATTCTAATAATAGGGTATGTATGTATGTTGTTCTTTTCTTTTGTTTTCTTACTTTAACCTTACCCCTTACTAACAATTACTACTACAAATTTTTAAGCAATCACTGTTACTAACTGGATTAATATTTTATCTGAAATAAATGAATTTAATAATAATAATAATTATTATGCATAGGACGACGGAATCGAAGACTAGACGGCATTGGGCACGCAACCCATCACTCGCCACCACCACACACTTAAAACCCAATATCAGTGAACCCATTTTTAAATGCTTCTTAATTATGGTTTGGTTCTTCCGCTGGAGCCTTGAGTCCAGCAAAGAGCTCGATAAATTCTGGCACTAAACACGCCACAGTTGGCGCTACATCAGTTGCTTACCTCGATCCCGTGAGCCTTCATCAGGTGTTTGTTGAGGATCTGCTTCTGACTGAAGTCCCTACTGCAGAGGTGACACTTCTTGCGTTCCCTTACGACAAATTTCGGAGTTTGGTCGTTGCATAGCTTCACTATTCAAGGAAATGTGCACGAAAATTCAAACTATAACCCCTTTAGGGAAACATTAAGGACACTTTACTGTTTTAACAAGGCTTATATCTAACTATACGAGCAAATGCCGCACAGTAACTACAAAACAAAATGATATCAACTTTGGTATGTTTATATTCTCAATCAAATTACTTCATAAAACCTAAGAACCTTAAGTGTTGAAAAGTATTGAAAGCCTTATAGTCTAGACGAGACGAGCTAATTTCTCTTTCATTTTGGAACCGATTTACTATGTTAATTTTACACGCCAAGCCAAGCGGTCATAACGGAATGGCTACAAATGTATGTGAGGCCGGCGACCCCTAACACCGCTGTTCAATCATAATATGCACATTAGAATTATATTGTAATATTGTAATGGTAACACCTAAGTTCTAAGTTGCTAATTTTAAGTTTGGCGATGGCAACCCTCTCTTCCGTTCCAGCCTTTTAGCCCCGTGCATGGCAAGTTGTAATTTAAATGAATAAAATTAGAATAAACGCAAATATTCAATATACAAGCCTGTATTTTATTTATACAGCCGCTGCACCACAAATAAAACAGCCTCTGACCAACAAACTTGACGTGTTGCTTAGTTGCGAGTTTTTTTTAACTTGTCGATCGCGTAAAAGTTAACTCAAATTTGTATGGAATTCGAACAACGCCCCTACGTTTACCTACGTTTGCCGCTAGGGGCGCTGTTCGAGAATCGACAAAGTTAAAAAACTCGCACTAAGCACACCGAGCTACGAGTAGCACAAAATTAAAATGTCGCGTGTTTAGCGAAATGTTGCTTAAATCAAACAGCCTTTCAACCCTCGACATAAAGACGTCACCACTCATTTCTCATTAAATCAATGCGGGAAGGAAATAGTATGCTTTAGGAGACTTCTTTCAAATAGGATTTAAAAGTTTCAGAGTCACAGTGTAGGGTAAAACAAGCACGTATTGCGAACGATATGTTTGTCATTCGGTGAGCTTAGTGCGAGTTTATTAACGTACTCGATATCGTAAAAGTAAACTCAAGTTTGTTTGGAGTTGGAACAGCGCCTCTAGCAGCAAATATTCCAACTCCATACAAATTTGACATGGAACTATTCGTCCGCCTACAGAACCCGTTACAGACCAAACGATAACAGAGCGAACCGAATTCAGTTTTTTTATTTCCTATCTATGTTGATAACCTTGAGAGGCTATTTCAGCTTCGCCCAATATGTAGGTGAACTCACGGAGCTCAAACCGGAGTGTTGCTAACACTGGCCCTAGCAAGAGCCGGGCTTCGCAGAATGTACCACCGGATCGGAAACGCGACCCACTAAGAAGATCCGGCGAGAAACTCAGTGGGCTAATTCAGCATTGTCATACTCACATCCGTGTTTCATTCTCAAATGTGTAAAGCACGCTTTCTTGCTTATATAAACGTTATCGCAAAAATGACAAGAGTACTTCCGTCCTTCGATTTCTGACTTCAGACTGTGGCATCTGGAGTCCAACGCAAAATAAACATTATAGAAATAGTATTATAATAGTCCTCCATAGGGAATACTGTGAGGAATTATTCGAGATTAACCCCTCATCTCCTTTTTACCGTCATACCTGCCACCACCAGAGTAGAGTTTATCCATATTATCTGGAACCGCTGCGTTCATCGACAGTGCGTTTCCAAAGAACTTTTCTGCCACCTACCATTAGACTTTGGAATGAACTCCCCTCCACGGTTTTTCCTGAGGACTATGACATGTCCTTCTTCAAACCAGGCTCGCAGAGATTACTCAATCGTAAGCAGTGACTTGGCTGTGCCTGACCGTAACCACTTACCTTCAGGCCGTATGCTCATTTGCCTAACAAGGTAATCCTTTTTTATATTCTTTGGTATTCGCGAGGTATACGCCCAAGTGGCTTACTAGAGCACATACGACGTAAACCATCGACACAACTTGATACATGAGTTCTAAGGTCTCAATTTTATGGCAAAACGGCTGCCCTGCCCTTCAACTTCAAACCGAATTACTGCTTCACGATAGAAATAGGCAGGACGCTAGTACCTACCCGTACGGGCTCCCAAGATGTCCTACCACCAGTAATTACAAATATAAGACTTTAGGATGTGCGACGTTTGAGTCAGCAATGGCTATCGTACCCTATAAGGCGGAATACATGACGGCGGAAATAGGAAAATATTTATCTAAAAAAAAAAAAGGATTTTTCCAGCGATTTTTATTGTTATTCAGCTATATAGAAACTCATAGACCGCAGCGTAAATACCTAACTTGCTCCATGTCTTTCAATAGCAGAATATGGATAATGCAGGCTACAAATCTTTTTTATTTTTTATTGCTTAGATGGGTGAACGAGCTCACAGCCCACCTGGTGTTAAGTGGTTACTGGAGCCCATAGACATCTACAATGTAAATGCGCCACCCACCTTGAGATATAAGTTCTAAGGTCTCAGGTACAGCTACAACGGCTACCCCACCCTTCAAACCGAAACGCATTACTGCTTCACGGAAGAAATAGGCAAGGCGGTGGTACCTACCCGCGCGGACTCAAGAGGTCCTACCATCAGTATTGCAACACCAACGAAACACCCTCTCACCTGTTCTTATGATCGTCCGGATCTCTGACTGTCACACCGCAGATGGTGCATTCCGTGAACATCGTCCCATCTAAGGCCTCAATTTGATCAGAATCCAAGTCTAGTGAGGAAAAACGCTTTTTTAAATCATCACGCACATTCTCGATAAGCTATCAGAGGTCTTTTTGAAGATTCTTGACGTGTCAAAGTCCCCTAGGTATTTTCGTAAAGCCACTCCATTACTCTCGTCCTGAGCGGCATATTACGCCTTGACTCTGCTTCTAGTATTAAGGATCAACATGAACAATGGTTGCCGCTTGCTCGGACGGTTCATTGGATTAAAGGCACTCTGCCCTTCGACCAGCAAGGCAAAATCGCTACAGAAACAGGGTCGGATTTAGGGGAGGGCAATCGGGACCTTCACAAACGGAGGACCCCCCACAATAGAGACTTTGGAAAAGTCTTCCAAATTCCGGCAAGTAAACACTTCCTTCTCCTTCGCTATTCTTTCGCTGTTTTGCTTAACGATAACGTTAACACCAAAATTTAATTTCAAATAATTCTTGTCTCCGATTATATTTATGTATGTTTGTTAAATACTAAGAGAGTCTATGTAGCTTCACAATAAATTATTTATTGTGAAACCTTCGACTGAAAAAAAATTGTTCATTTTATTTGGATAATAATTTGCGGCGAGGGGGCTTGCGCTCCTCTGTTGCCCCGAGGCCTCCAGACCTCCAAATTCGGCCCTGTATAGAAATCAGCAGGGCACCCCAATACAGAAAGCATAGGTTAAGTTACCGTCAAATTCTTTCATGTCATTTCGGTGGAAGTTGTTCGAAGATTCAGCCTCTTCGAGTATTGATTCGTCCAGATATTCCTCGTCTGTTCAAACATCGGAAAGGCAATTAGAGACTAAATTTTTTACTACAGCAGGCAATGTCCAAATAATTGCACTGTCGAATGATTTAGATGAGACGTCTGCTACCTTCACCTTGCTTAATGAACTAATTACTCGGTGACTCCGATATATAAGAATGTATGTTAGTCTCTGGTTATGTATGTTAGTCTCAGCCACTTGGTGTTAAGTGGTTACTGGAGCCCATAGACATCTACAATGTAAATGCGCCACCCACCTTAAGATATAAGTTCTAGGGTCTCAGTATAGTTATAACGGCTGACCCACCCTTCAAACCGAAACGCATTACTGCTTCACGGCACAAATAGGCGGGGCGGTGGTACCTACCCGTGCGGACTTACAAGACGTCCTACCACCAGTATTTACACTAATTATAATTTTGCGGGTTTGATTTTTATTACACGATGTTATTCCTTCACCGTGGAAGTCAATCGTGAACATTTCTTAAGTACGTATTTAATCAGAAAAATCGGTACCCGCCTGCGAGATTCGAACACCGGTGCATCGCTACATACGAATGCACCGGACGTCTTATCCTTGAAGCCACGACGACTTAAATTGGGGCAGAATGACTATGGGTAACTCCACACGTGATATCCTTCCACAAATGTGCTAATACGGATTGGTACAATTGCATTGGGAGCATTAGCGTGCTATGGACGAGACCATGATGCCCACCATTATTAGTAGGTATATATTATTTTTTTACCTAAACTAATAGCCTTGCGAAGCTATGTCAGCGTAACCTAACAAGTAGGTGAGCTCACGGGGCTCAAACCTGACGATGTTGCTAGCACTGGCCCTAGCAAGAGGAGTGCTTTGCAGAATCTACCACCGAATCAGAAACGCGACCCACTGAGAAGATCCGGCGAGAAACTCATTGGGCTTAATAGTAGTGATTACGACTTCAATTAATGTCTCGAGGCGGCTTTGTTTGAATCTCATCAGCTCCGCGATTAATTGCGCTAAAGGACTCTGGACTTTTGGCCTCAAATCAAGCTCACCTCTGATATTCTGTAGCACGGCCAGATTCTTTTCCGTTTGCTCTTTGAGGGTCGCACACTTTTCAAGGCTTTCCACACACTCGTAGCATATGTATCTGATGTGAATCGGTACCTGGATTGGAGGAATTCGAGGATCAGCCCTAGGAGAGCTTGGGAGGAGGAAAGGACCAATAAGGTTTTTTTTTATTTTTTTATTGCTTAGATCGGTGAACAATCTCACAGCCCACCTGGTGTAAGTGGTTACTGGAACCCATAGACATCTACGACGTAAATGCGCCACCCACCTTGAAATATAAGTTCTAACGTCTCAGTATAGTTACAACGGCTGCCCCGCCCTTCAAACCTTACTGCTTCACGGCAGAAATAGGCGGGGTGATGGCACCTACCCGTGCGAACTCACAAGAGGTCCTACCACCAGTAGGTAGGTTTGATGAACTAGTCTAGAGCCTCTCTATTTAAGGTCTTTTTTTTCCCCCCTAAGCTACCTTCCCTGGTAGCTTAGGGGGCTATTTCAGCAAAGTCCGAACGGGTAGGTGAGTTTATGGGCTCAATAAGCTTACTCTAGCAAGAGCAGTGCTTCGCTGAATCTACCACCGGATCGGATTCGAGACCCACTGAGAAGATCCGACGAGAAACTCAGTGGGCTAAACGAAGGTCATCGGAAGACTACACACACCTCACCTCCCATGTCTGGTAGATAATGACCTTGATTATATTACCACTAGCTCAAAGGTCAATTCCAGAGACAGTTTTTTTTTTAATAAAACTTGATATTCTTAGTCGAAGTTGATCTAGTAAGTTTTCCGATACTAATGAAAAAGAGAAGATTGAAGCTCTTTAATATTAACTCTACTCCCTGCTAGATGGCGCTACTAAGTAGTTCCGCTACGAGAAATAGTCTATAAATCTATAATATATAGTATGGAAAACAGTATGCAATATAATATATTTAAATTTTTTATTTTGTCTATTTCTGTCGCGAAAGAGTCATTGAGTCCGGTTTGAAAAATAATACAATTATTTCGATTGAGGGTACATCCAGTACGATTGAGACTTCGATCTGATGTATCAAGGTGCACATTCGCCTTGTGAGGTCTATGGCCTCTGGTAACCACTAACATCAGGTCAGACGTCAGGTCATTCATCGACTTAATTAAAAAAAAATGCAAGCCATCTTCGTGGCGGGACTATCAAAACAAGAGGGTTCAAAATACGGACCAAATTTAGTGCTCAAGACGTGTAAGAATAGTAATTTCTAGAGCTAGGATCACATACCTACTAGAATGTACGAAATAAGCCGACCAAATTCGTAATGATATTCAGGCCTCAGAAAACTTTTCAAATACGGTTGGATTATAATAATAATTTCTGTGATAAAAACTCGAATTGTTAATAATCTGGCGCCGATTTTTAAATCGTCATTGTTAAAATACAACCGATTAATGTGATTTCGTTAAAATCCTAACTTCTGAATAAATACTTAAAGAGGCGTTAGACCGAATCAGAGCCAATAACTTTTTTGTACCTTAATTCCGAAACAGGTTTCAAGCAAACTAGCGTAGGTTTCGACATTTTCTTCATAAACAGCAAATAGGTCGTACAGATCACTAGTTCCCATGCAGCTGATGCAACCTACAAACTCCTCCTCGTCCATGATTTTTTTTACAAATATACTTTTTCTAGTACGTCACGCGTGCACGACGAAAAAGTCCATGTTTTTTCATTTCGATATTCAAATAACAATTGGCGATCGCGCCATGGCGCTTCGCTAGTGTCGTTCTTGACTCGAATTTAAAAGTCGATCGATTTAAATATAATTTGTATTTGTAACTAGAGAAATGAAGTCAATGTTGAACAGCTCAATGATGGCTAAATTCGCATATAAATTACAATTTAAAATTCAAGATAACTTAATATGTTCATTAATAAAATTGACAATGTTAGTGACCTTAGGAAAAATCATTGACCCCATTCTTTGTTGTGACTAGTTTTGACATTTAGAAAGAGATATAAGATCCAAAAAATGAAAGAGTACTACTGTACACTTTTCCGCCATCTATTATTTAAGTTGAACATGATGTTAAATAATTTAAAAAGAAAGGCCCTTAGCTAAAACAACACGAGTATGAGACAATTTATATCATTAAAATTATATGTATTTTAGGTTTTTTCCACTATTCAAAATATTTTCAAGTTATCGTTAAGTTTTTATTCAGTTTTTTTATTTGACACAAACTAAGTATTCTTGAACAACAGATGGCGCTATACCACACCAATTTGGAATTGGAAAGTTAGATTGACTGTTGTTGTCAGTTGTTGATACTAAACTTGTTATCTTTCATCTTCCAATATTCATATTTCAAATGTTGCTCTTATTGATAAACAAAAGTGAAAATCCTAGACTGATAACCCATCACAATTTTATCACGCTGAACCCTGTTTTGATACAAATGATAGATTGCTCCGTTAAAAATACACTTCACAACAGAGATGCGACTTTGTTTTTTAGTCAACATAGTTTAATGAATACAGTTGAATAGAAATTACACTTTAATCACCTTAATTTATTGTGGAAGCAAACAAAGATTATTATTTATGGAACTGCGTCTAGATTTTTAATTATACGGTTAAATGGTTCGCGGACTACACGACAGGGCAGATCGTTATGTTAGTGTTCAGTTTCGTCAAAAAAATCAAAACTAGTTTTAAAATTAATTTCATGAATACGCCATCGCTTAATGAAATTTGCATAAAATGAAGATTAACAAAAGCTTGCTGCCTGTAAAGGCGCATTTCTTCTTTTTCTTCGCCGGTAAGTAATATGTATTAATTTTTATTATTTTAAATCATCAAGAAAAATATTGAGTAATCAAAATACACTTAATGGTGGTGTTTATAACAGTTCTTATAAATGAGAATAACCTTTTAATTGTTGATCTATTTTTTTAATACTACAATTGAATATTCGGAAATTTTGGGAATTTCAAAAATTTGGTGAAAGTCCAATATGTACATATAATAATGGCTCCATTTTATATATGCTTCAACTACTTCACTAGAAGAGAGCTTACGAGTTTAAAAAAAAATAATGCTTAGATGTATGGATGAGCTGACAGCCCACCTGTTGTTAAGTGGATACTCTAGCTCATAGACATCTACAACGTAAATGCCGCCACCTACCTTGAGGCATGATGAGTTCTGAGGTCTCACTTTTAACTACGGCTGCCCTGCTCTTCAAACCCAAACTCATAACTACTTCACTGCAGAAATAGGGAGGGTGGTGGTAGCTACCCATGCGGACTCACAAGACATCTTACCACCAGTAAAAATTAGATTACTTAAAGAATTATTTTTAATATAAATAATTTTACATGGAAACAGTTTAGTTGACTTAATAGAAACTACTGCTTAATATCACAGCCAATTATGGTAATTTTTACTACGTTTTAATAATATTGATGCTTGAAAGGCAAACATGACTAAGCGACAATGCCTGAACTTTACAGTAGACTAATTTAAAGTTGAAATACCTGAAAAAAAATTCTATTTAAACAAATCTAACTGTAGGATTGAAATTATTTTAATAGACCTAGAAATATATTTTTTTTGCGCATCGAATACGGTTATCGCCTATCATTTATGAACAAAGCAGTTATTGTCACTTTTGCCTTTCAAGTGTCGATGTATAGAAAATTTTCATGGTCACAGATGACTTTATTTGACTATTAATAAATGAAAGAACTTCTACTCTATTTGGCTTAAGCTATGCTATTGAATTAGCTATGATGCTCTAACGAAATTACACAACTTAGGGCAGAAATAGAACTGGACAACTGTACTTATTGTTAGGTTTAATCTTACCTCTTGTGCTGTTCCCAGAGTGATAACTATCCCATTTAAAATCAGATTTGAAAAGAATCCTTTGCCACAGTCCTGAGCTATCTTCATATACAAAAACTATTTTTTACTTCAACATTAAATTGCAAAGGAAGTTGATAAAAGTCCTTATCGGTAAGCAGCAGTTTGACTCACAAGTCCATAGCGACTAGCCCATAGACATCTACAACGTAAATGCTGTCACCCACCTTGAGATATGAGTTCTAAGGTCTCAGTATAGTCACAACGGCTGCCCCACCCTTCAAACCGAAACCGATTACGGTTTCACGGCAGAAATGGGCAAGGCTCACAAGAGGTCCTACCACCAGTAACGGCCTCAACAATGATTAGTAAAGTATAATTTATTAGCTTGTTGTCTGTGGCTTTGTCTGTATGGTTTTTAAAAGATATTGGTGTTATTACTCATGGGAATGACATGATTTTAATTTGACCCACTACAAAACAACACAATAAAAGCCTGTTGGCTGTTTTTGAATGTTGTTTGTGTGTTGGTGTGCAATAAAGTCTAAGGTCTCTGTCTCTCTCTCTCTCTCTCTCTGTCTCTTTCTCTGTCTCTCTGTCTCTTTCTCTCTCTCTATGTCTCTTTCTCTCTTTCTGTCTCTTTATCATAAAAAACAAACACACCATCACAGGTTTCACCACTGTAACAACAAACTCAAAACTTTCTCTCCTCCAAATAAATGTACATTATACAAACATGATAATACATTATTATTACATAATATTTTAGGAGATGCTTGCTCAATCTTTGACCTTGAATAATCACTTTAAGAATTAATTGCCTAACATTATGTGATCATACAGTATTTCGCAGTATCAACAGTCTCCAGATTGTGATATTACTGTTATCTAAAATGCTATATCTTATATAATCAGCAAATCATGTTATAAACATTACTACATTATAGATAGCCTGAAATGGTTATGAAACGTTTTGTTCCATAGATCTTCTAATTTGTGACACTGTCTTTTAAAGTACCTTTATTTTATGTTTTTATTTAACACTGGCTTTTGCCCGCGACTCCGTCCGGCGTGGAATAGTTATTTTGGCATAACGCTAAATTTTACCCCCACTTCATTTATGTAGAAAGTGAAAATATTTTTGAAATATAGAATGTTAATGAACTATTTAAATGCCTATTTTGAAACATTATTTATTGGTGCTCCACTTGTATTGGCCTTACCGTGATGTTATATAGCCTATAGCCTTCCTCAATAACTGGGTTATCTAACACTGAAAGAATTTTTCAAATCGGACCAGTTGTTCCTGAGATTAGCTCGTTCAAACAAACAAACTCTTCAGCTTTATAATATTAGTATAGATAGGAACATAATAACAATTTTACTGATAGATAAACAGAGATATGATATTTATGGGCCTCTAACTGCCCAGCTTATGTATAGTAACCCACTGAGAAATACAACAGATGTTTTGCACACACTCTGAATGCTCACCGTCGCTCATTTAATATTGTTATCCTAGAGGTGAAGCCGAGCCTTGGTACTGTCCTGATTCTCTTGTTTAAATAAACAATGCATTATGGAGTCAATATCCACTGTAATAACACTATAGAATTGCAGCAGTAATAGACCTTAATTACAACAACAACGTGCTATAAGTGGCTTCACTCACATATCAATTGAACTGCCATATATTATAGTAAATTTTATGAATAATATCTGCACTCTTTTTTATTATGCAGATGAGCTCACAGTTCTGGTTTTTTTTTTTTTTTTTTATTAGATGGGTGGACGAACTCACAGCCCACTTGGTGTTAATTGGTTTCTGGAGCCCATAGACATCTACGACGTAAATGCGCCATCCACCTTGAGATATAAGTTCTAAGGTCTCAAGTATAGTTACAATGGCTGCCCCACCCTTCAAACCGAAACGCATTACTGCTTCACGGCAGAAATAGGCGGGGCGGTGGTACCTACCCGCGCGGACTCACAAGAGGTCCTACCACCAGTAAAAAAGGTACTTTTTACACTATATAGTCTTATATTGCTAAGAAGAAAATATTCAAATCACGTTCCTTTACGACTGTAAGTAAGTTAGCAGGTATTTCCATAAAAAATGCTTGGCAAAAAAATCAGTTAGATCTTATTTCTTCTTGGTGTGAGTTCTTAAAATAAAAACAAATTACATTTTTTTAAAATAGGTCATATGTATTTTATTAGAAAAACACAAATAAAAGTAGCCACTTCTATCATTAAGGTATAAAGTTAACAGATGGCGCGAAAAAACGATATCAGTAAAAATGTGAGGTACTGGAATCTTACGGTCGATGTACATAACACAAATTATAAAAATTATTTTCTTAATTTTTTTAGTTCAGCCAACTTCAATTCTAAATGAGCGATTTGGAGCCTCGTGTTTAAAAAAAATATTTAAGAGACGAGTCTTAGTAGGCAAGATAATAAGTAATATTCCGTGTCCGAATTAAACATGTCGTGGAAGAGCCATAGCTGATGACTCCAAGGAGCCGATGGTAGCTGACCACTAAGATAGACCAAACGAATGGTCATCCAATCGAAGAGACGATGATAGTACGGCTGGAGTTCCGCAAGGTTCTGTCCTCTCGCCCCTCCTATTTAGTTTATTCGTCAAAGATATTCCCCGGTCACTGCCGACCCAATTAGCTTTGTTCGCCGACGACACGAGTGCTTACTATTGGAGTAGAAACAAGTCCCTAATCGCGAGGAAGCTTCAGAGCGCAGCCGTAGCCCTAGGACAGTGGTTCCGAAAATGGCCCATAGACATCGACCCAGCGAAAAGTACTGCGGTGCTATTTCAAAGGGGAAGCTCCACACGGATTTCCTCCCGGATTAGGAGGAGGAATCTCACACCCCAGATTACTCGGGCAGCTGCTAGCAAATCCCACCCTTCCTGGCTGAGCCTTTGCTCGCCCACCTGTCCTGGTGAAACTGGAAAAAAAAGTTTTACCGATACGCGTTGAATAAGACCCCAATTAAATTCTAAAAAGCCTCTTCCCTGTTTAACAGCCGTTATAATTATATCTGCAGTGCTACACTCGTGTTAATTTAACATTCATAGACAAGTCAATTGGTTTGATGAAAGGTGACGTCATATCACAATAGTGTGCTTAGTGCGAGTTTTTTAACGTTCTCGATAACGTAAAAGTTTACTCATATTTGTATTTGTTTTATTGCTTATATGTGTGGACGAGCTCACAGCCCACCTTGTGTTAAGTGGTTACTGGAGCCCATAGACATTTACAACGTAAATGCGCCATCCACCTTGAGATATAAGTTCTAAGGTCGCAGTATAGTTACAACGGCTGCCCCACCCTTTAAACCGAAACGCATTACTGCTTCACGGCGGAAATAGGCAGGGCGGTTGTACTTACCTGTGCGGACTCACAAGAGGTTCTAGCACCAGTCATTACGCAAATTATAATTTTGCGGGTTTGATTTTTATTACACGATGTTATTCCTTCACCGTGGAAGTCAATCGTGAACATTTCTTAAGTACATAATTCATTAGAAAAATTGGTACCCGCCTGCGGGATTCGAACACCGTTGCATCCCTAGATACGATGGCAACGGACGGCCACGACGACTGTAGTATGCAGTTGGAACAGCGCCCCAAGCGGCAAACGTAGGCAAACGTTCCAACTCCATACAAATTTGAGTTAACTTTTACGCTAGCGAGAACGTTAAACTCGCACTAAGCACACTGGTGTTTGCGATTTGTTTTGACGATGCGACGCGAAAGATTGTTATATAACGTTGCGCGACTATCAATTTAAATTCGCTTATCGCTTCAATGCCAATGTTAATGACCCCCTTTCGGCCGGTTCCCGGTTTCCTATGAGACCCAACTGGGTTCGCCGGTTGAATTCACGTGCCTTAGCGTGTTAGATGTTCCGATGTTTTTTTTTTTTTTTAATA